GTCCTGGCAAATGACAAATGATAAGAAGGAATATAAAATTGCTTAGTTCAGGTATGGGGATTTTAAAAGATCTGATCAAAGTAGCTGTCAATTTATGGTAGACAAAACCTGCTTGCATTAAAAAATTGTTTTTAATGAAAACAAATTACAGGTGTCAAATTCATGAAGTTTTCCCTTCATTTTTCCACATGTGCACAAGTTGTAAAATGTAAGTGTTTAACTTTGGCTTTTTGTTTCAATTCTGCTTTGTTCATAATCATAATACAACTCGCACAAGGGAAATGCTGCTTATTTCTATGGCTGGTTGTAAAGTTTGAGTTGACCAGAACCAAAACAAAAGGCACAACCAAACTAGTTTGAGAATCCCTAAATTAATAATATAATTATCTGAGTCTGACCAGACGCCAGAGTCACTGTTTAACTCTCACAGTTGACTGTTAAATTCGTGTAAAAATAAAATGGATTAAGCATAAATATTATCAAGAGAGCTTGCTAATTTAATGGAATAGTACACGTAAGTCGAGGGCCCCAGATCAGATATGGCTTTGTTTTATGCCGGATCGGTACAGAAAAGGCTATGTATGGGACCGGTACGCGGTCACGGTGATGACTACGAAGGTGCGGCCATGTTGGCGAAACGTACACTTTTCGCGCCATATCGGCAAAAATGAGTGATTTTAACGTAGCCGTCACACAACTTCCGGTTGAAAATCGAAAAATGTGTAACTTTCATGGCCATAAAAGCTAATAAAATACATCGTGCATCAATCGAACTCTGCGCTTTTTCACTTCTGCCAACATTTTTCTTGTGAAAAATCAAAAAATTGGGGAAAAACATTGCTAATACCAGTCAGGAACACGCTAAATGCAAGGTAATGTCAGAATACCTCCTACGAAAGAAGGAAAATATGGACACATTTCAATGAATATTTACAATCACTTAGATGCGGTAAAATTAGGAAAATTTCATATCAAAATACGTAGAAAAGTATGGAGATTCACTTACCCCTACATGCTACGCAGCACAATAAAAGCCATAGCAGCTGTGATAAAGTTTGTTGACCTGTGCAAAAGTCTCGCGAAATCTCGCAAATCGCGGGACACGAAATACGACGGTTTATCGCACTTCCGGGTGCTGTGTAAATTTGGGCATTCTGCCTAATTATCGCGGGCGTTGATGGAAATGGAAATCTTCGGAATTATTACTCTTCAGAATAACGACGTGAAATCTTATTCCCCACTCCCACACACACACACGCACACACGCACACACATGCCCATGCACTAGCACGCCAGTGTGTAGACAAACAAAGATGGGTTGGCATCACTTTTTGTGTGTCACTTTTACCTTCCATTTCCCTTTTTTTTGCCCAGGGTGGGGGGAAGCCCCCTGGTACCCTTTTAGATTCGTCATCGAATGTAGATGTACACCTAAAATGTGTTGTTGATTCATTTTAAATGGATAAGTGACCACAAATATCATAATAACGACAATCATAATGATTATAATAATAGTAATTATATAAATAATCATTACAATAATAATGATTAAAGCAATAACCAAAAAAATGAAATGTTAGTAACAATAATAATTATTTAAAAAAATAGTAATAATAATAATAATAATAATAATAATAATAATAATAAAAGTGATAATAATGATAATAGATATGATAAATGTAATATGTCATGTTAACTATGAATGGTCTTATCATTACTATCTATCTTAGGTGTCTACAAATCATTTGTAGGATATGTGTACTAAACATCATTTTCATTTCAGCCCTTTATTTTAAATTCGCCAAAAGTGATATCAGCTAAATCCTGGCAAAATAATTGTGCTTGGCAATGTTACAATGTATATACATAAACGTAGTTTATTTCTATTGGCATGTCAAAACATTAATTTGCTTAATTTGACAGGTTTTATTTCGCTTAGGCCGGTAGACACCAACATAGCTCCTTTATATAAATTACAATTCAATATCAAATACTATGCAAAGGCGTAGGAATCAATAATGTTCAACACTCAAGGAAAGGGTCAGAGAATTCCATTTTTATTTTAAAACAAAATTATTTCAATTATTTATTTTTCTGAAAAGAAATGAATAAAGCATACAAATAAAGCCCTTCAGCGAAAAGTATGTATAACAGTACATACCATATTGTACTATAAGCACCAGAGCCATCTATCTACAGAGTTTGGCCAATTCGGTTTCACTGGGTCACAACATGGCGTATATTCCTGTGTTTTGTGCATCTCAACAAAGCAGTAGTCGCAATATTGTGTCCAACTCGAACCGGGCTGGAAAGACTCTGTGTTTATTTTATTTTTTTTGTAGTATTTTTTGTATTGTCTTCATTCAATACATGGACATGTACATCATACAAATACAAATTATTTCAAATTACATTATATAGCATATAGAGTACACAATATACACAACTCAATTATTTTCAACGAAAAAAAAAAAAATCTTAATAACCCCCTTCCCCAAATTAAAACACAAAACAATGACGAAGCATTAACAAAAAAAATAGATGGCTCGATAACGAAACCGCAAAACTCCCTCTTGACCCATCGCAGGTCAGCCGTAGCAGTATTGTTCTGTAACTCGATGCTTCCCTAGCTGCACCGCTGGTTCTTGCATCGAGTTCTCTTTCTACAAAGTGGGAATTATGATGACCATGTTGACCATGAGATGGCATTAGGGACTTTTAGATTTGCACGTCGACTTAGTGGACTGGTACGTGTCACGTCCTTTTAAGGCACTGTGATGTCCTTTTAAGGCACTGCCAGTACCTTAAAGGATGTCTGACGTAGCAGTCCACTATGTCGACGTGCAAATCTAAACGTCCCTATTGTGAAATAAACAGTACGCTAGGGCAGAGAGTTAATCAGTTCAGTATCCCTTGAAAAGATCATAAAGAACTTCATATTAACTGACAAACTGAACAAAAATATCATACAAAATTAAAATATATCAGGATCAAAACAAACCTTTTTTAACATTTGATTTCGGATGTTGCAGATATAGTTTAAACATTATGAACCATAATTGTTTCTGTAACACAACATATTTACCCATCATATGGCTAGCTTTCAAATATTTTTTTTTTTATATAAAAATGCCTCTATCTGTCATTTCACCAGTGCCAATATAATTTGTCTAGCTAAAACCCTTCGTAAGACCTTTTATTTACAGATCTGGAATATTTCTTCTTACTGCGGCAATAGGCCTAAACTAGAAGAGCATTGATGTGATTCCGCTAAAATTTGACTATTTAAACGTTAGAAGGATAAGTACGATTGGTCAAACAATCAACTTGTGAAATATTGAAATATTCTGACTAAGAGCATGTAGTTAAAGATGAAGTTGAGTTCTGGTCATGCGATTGCATTATGAAAGAAACGATGTGGAACCGACCAGAAACGGTTAATCATCTAGCATATAAGAATTTGTGTGTATTGCAAGGTTCTGGAATCATCAAAATGATAAGAAATGTGGCCAAGTCTTGGTAAAGTTACAAACACTTGCACAGAAAGATGTATATGGGACTACACAAACACGTGGCGTAAAAATCCGGCCCCCCGATTTTTACGATGTTACATGCATATTTAGAATATGAAGGCATTTGAAGAGCCATGCTTTTCAGGGAACATGTCTTAACTGATGTTCTTCCACACTTGCATAACAAGAATGAGTAATGCTCACAAATTATTTTTTCACCTCTTCCCAGAACTCAACCTTCTCTTTAACATGAAATAGAAAGAAAACACACAACTTTGTCAGGTAGATAACAAAATTAGAAAAACTACCATCAATTATTACTCCTGACAACCCAATTCTTGTTGACATCCAATATTTCCAATCGTAGTATATAAGCAAAATATTGATAATTAGCTATATATTATGTACATCAAACTATAACCTCATCTACAATATCAGAACGTGAAGTAAACAAAAGTGTAGTAGCTGTCAAAGATCAGTAGGGGGCATAGTATAATATAATAAAATGTAATATAAAATAATAATGATAATAATATTACATTTATAAAGCCACCTTTCATTCGGTACAAAGTACATAAACAAGAAATAAAAATTAACAAAAATAGAGAACATTATCATACGAAGCTTATATTAATTATAAATAAAGAGGAATATTACAACACATTAGAAAACAAATGTGTTTTCAGAGTATGGCAATTCTGAAGTACAGGGGGTAATGATTTTTAGTTTGTGGGGGCAATAACGGGAAAAGCCCTATCACCTATCTGTTTACTGGTTCGAGGGATAGTTAGTGTTTCACTACATGCTGATCATGTATTATACTGTATACATGGATGTGAGCGAATGGAGTAGATCACCTAGGTATACTGTGGCCTAATTATTGAGACACTTTTAAGTGAAAGTGAAGGTTTAAAGTATGATACGATTATAAACACGAGGCCATTGACGATCAGTGATGAGAGGGGAGACATAGACAAATGTTTGGTTAACAATGGATGAGCCGTGCTGCTTTCCTTTGGGGGGGGTCGAAGGGAGATAAGATCTTTAAAATACGCGAAATACGATGGAAAGTCTTCAATATATATTTAAGATAGGATTAAGTCTGAAAATAGACTTAGGAATGTTTTTATTTTGCATTGTGGTGAATGTTTCTCTTTATTTGATAAAGATGATGACTTTCTTGTGTTTAAGTTGTTTCGGTATCTTAAACAAAAATGAAGACTTTGACACGAGGCGTTCCATAAATTAACTGTAAACACAAACTTTAAATTGTTATGGTGGATTGCCCGATCCTTATTTTATCATGTGGAAGTTACACAAATATTTGAAAACAAGGCAAATTTTCACTTTCAAATACAAAATATTTAACCGCAATTACAAGAAAAAGAGAGAAACAAATTAGGCTTTAATTTCGGCACCGATATATTGTTTAAGATTTTTGTTAATATATAAACTCCTTTTACGTCTTTTTTTTCTTTTCATATATATATATATATATATATATATATAGGCAGGCAGCAGCAGAATATAATGACATATTAAAGTCTTTGATTATATTCATGAATATACTTATTTGTAGAACTCTCTATTTCACGATACATTACAAAATCATGATAGAAATGTTAGATACAAGTATAATATACATACTGTTGATACTTGACTATATATTACATACATCAAACTACAACCTGATCTACACTATCAGAATGTGACGTAAGATACAAGTTTTTAGAAGTGAGGTAACTTTTATAGGCGAGCTTTAAACCCCGTCTGAATGGGAGGGGGATGTCTGTCTTCTCAATAATGCAGCATCACCTGGCAACATTCAATATCCTTCTGTAAATGAACTTAAGGAATGGCTTTATTTTGTAGCGTGGTGAGTTGTTTGTCTTTATTTAATAAACACGATGACTTTCTTGTGGTTAAGTTGTTAAGGTACTTTAGACATGTGCACTAAATGAAGACTTTGACACATGGCGTTCCATAAATTAATTTCAAACACAACTGAACTTCAAAATGTTAAAATCAAACACTAAATAACAAGTATTAATTGTGGTGTATTACCAGATCCTTTTGTTCGTATATCATGTTGAAGTTAAACAAATATTTGAAAACAAGGCAAATTCTCACTTAAAAATCCAATATATTTTAGCACAATTAAAAAAAAAAGAGATAAACAAAATAAGCTTACATGAAAACAAGGCTTAAGTTTGAGCACCAACAGATTTTTTAAGATTTCTAAATATAGGAACCCCTTTACGCTCTATTCCATCTATATATCTATCTATATATAATACATTCTTTGTTTTTATTCATGTATACTTATTTGTAGAACTATTTATTTTACAGTACGATACATAATCATAATAGAAATGTTAGATACAAGTATAAACAAAGTCTTATATACATATGTCTTACATGTAAGTATAAGTCTCTTTTAAAATAAAGATCCTTGTGTCATTATGAATATAACACAATACCAATGGAAGGCAGCTAATTAATAACAACATATAACATTTACTCTTAAATATAATGCAGATGCCTTTTTACCGCGTGTAGTATATAGAACAATATTATATCTCTCTCTCTCTCTTTCTTTCTCTTTCAGTTCCGTAGTTAAATGATAGTATGGCCTCTCGAAGTCGCTATTGCTTGCATGTTCTGAGTACATGTATTTTACCAAATATGGGTTCTTTTCCCCAATTGCCCATTTTAAGAGTGTCTTGAAAACAAACTTTGGAACTTTCATCTCTCATGTTCCACTCACTCTCATTGTGACTCTATTATTCTATGTAGTTGAAGAATTGTGAAGTCACATAGCCTGATACATGTATCTCGACATCTCCGTTGGGTCCATGTACTGACTGTTGTCAATGGGGTTTCCCCAATGATCCAGTTCAGCAGTGGCTGGAAGAGGAGTTTCGGAACTTTCATCTCTCCTATGCTCGTCCGATTCGTCTGGTGTGTTGCCTGCCAAACAAAATGGGAATATGTCACTACAACGCAGCAATTTTGAAGACAGGTTGAACCCCGCATGTAGATATGCACTTACGCTACCATGTAACATAATGGTGAATCAATCATGTAAATAACATACAAGCGATAGTATAGATTCCTACCTCCACAACCCCTCCCCTCCCACACCCCCCCCCCCCCCCCCCCACCCCTTTCTCTCTCTCTCCTCAGAAGTGCAAGAATTAATACGTTGCAGAACAAGGTCAATAGTGCAATATTAGAGCAGCAATACATTTTACAACATAAGATTCATTCACCCCATGATGTTCCTTCGAAGAATGAACATTTAAACGAAAATGTATTTGCATAATTCATAACATCATATTGCACGAACCGTACACATGCGGTTAGTAGGCCTATATCAGAACTGTATTGGATATAAGTCGTAAAAAGGGTTACCTTGCTCATTCGTGTCAACGTCTTCAGTGGTGTTCTCTGTTGATTCTGCAGCTACATCTCCGCTCTCCTCTAGCTTCACATCTTAAGTAAGATCGATGTATAAGGATGAAAAGAAGAAGGTTAGTACAAAGAAATTTGCCTATCGTATTACAATGCAGGGGCCTCGCTTATAAAAGGAGGAAAGCTGCACCAGCAGAAGTCCTGCCCTTTCTCTTTAATCGTACTTTGTGGACAAATCCATACTTGTCAGCAAATATTTCCTTTTGGAGCCTTTCTGCTTACTTGTCAGTAAATGTAGAAAAACTTTGCCGTATTTGATAATGTCCAATGCTGCTCAGAGCCCTGTTGAATAAAACTGGACATCAATAACAATATTCAATATCTGTTATAAGCTACCGAAATCGTTACATTTGCTTGGCCGAGAAATGTTGTTATAGAAATTTAGCATTTGTTACTGATAACAAGTTTTAATGAAACAGGGCCCAACTTTTATCTTTTTCGGAAATTCACATCCTTAGATTTTGTTTAAAGGCCAACACGAAACTCTGACAAAAATTTATGTTCGTTAATCATAAACTATTTTAAATAGTTGAAGTGCTATAAAAATTTTAAAAACGAAGGTGAATAAATATAAACATCGAGGGCTAATACTAAATACCGACAAAGTTAATTTTGTTTCAAGAGTTAATTCAAATGTCGAAAGTGAAGTGTGAAAATTGTTAAGGTAAATCATTCCAACATGAAATGACAATGACAAATGCGTAGAAAACTTAAATGGAAAACAATAAAAGTGTAAAGATGGACAATAAAAAACAACGATAATTGTTAATGAGGTGTGTATATAATGCTGTATGTAAAGTAGATATAATACCTTCCCTGGGAACGACAAACCAATCTGGAAAAAAGGGGATGAAAAAAGACAAATTATAGAGTAAGAATGTTTTTATTCCGATAGAAGAGTAGAATAATTCATACATGGGATAAATATTAGCGGTCGCACTGATGATAATCCGCGGTATACCAGTGATCTATCCCCCAACGGTCTAATATCACATGTTTGATATAGTCATGCAAGGTTCTCACATTGTGTATCTTATTTATTTTGTTTAGGTAATTGTGAGAAAAAGCATAAATATATTGTCCCATGAGTCTCCTTTAATAAGACAATTTAATAACCAAAAACATAACACATTTGACCTTCGCCATGTTTGTAGGACGAAGTAACCTCCCTGTAAGTTATTCAAATATCACTGAGGATTATCAACACGATCGCCATTATGTTCGAAATATCAACTCAAGGGCAATTTTAACACCCGATTCTATGTCCCACAGAAATCAGGTTCGAATTAAGTTATACCTCAATGGCATGTTCGAACATTTCATAAGGTGATGCACGAGGCTATTGGAATCGCCTACTTATGATAATTTTTTGGAAGTACTTGCGATCGTCTTGTTTCAAAATTTTATTTAGGAAATAAAGCTTTATTTGTCTTACAATTTGGAGTTCGCTGTGCTAGTTTGTCTTCTTTTTTGAAAAATTATGATTAAAGGCTCGTTTAGATATGACGTGGTATAAACCGTGGCGGTTCTTTTCACCATAACGTATAGTGTTATATGCTTAACAATCATGTGGTTATAACACAGAGCTGAGTGAATACGCGCAAGTCCTTTGTTGCGCGCAGCTGCCAATCATTTTAACCGTAAAATACGCGCGGCGGCTTTTCTTGCGACGGTTGATCGCTCCATACCTGAAAAGGCCTTTACAGATATAATTACTGGTACTCGCACAATATACACGAATGTGATTGTTATTTTAGGGAGCTCTTCGTGTTTGGGTGGAAATGCACTCTCAGAAAAAATTGAATCAACTCTCAAAAGAGAGATTCAAACCACAACTTTTTGCTTAGCTTCTAAAATGGATGCTATCCATTCCCTTACGCCAAGCCTGTTTGTATATTTACCTTCATCAATACTAAGTTGTTCTCCATCGGTACTATTTTTATTGATGTTTGCTTCTTCCTCCGAAGCTCCGTCGTTTTCTTTTCCACGCTTTGCATCTATAAAAACATGAAAAATGTACGAATTACGTGAGCTGCATGGCATTTTGTAAAGCTTCTATCGTACTGATTTCTCTCTGATTTCTCATTTGGGAGCACGGTATAACTGTTATTTTCATTTGAGCTATGATAACGCCTTTATCTAGAGGTAAGCAACGACAAAATCCTCGTTTGCATGATATATTGGTAAAGCGTATTATCCTTTTTTTTTCTATTTGTACATGATTGAAGATCTGTCTTCACGCTTATGTAAAACGGTTTTATGTAACCTTGTTCCTTAGTCCTAGCATTTTCTTCTCTGGATATTTCAGCATCCACGTCCTTGGTATCCGTAGCTCCTTTCCCTGAGGATTTTATTTCCTCACTATTTTGACTTGCCCCATGCTTTGCACCTATTAAGATAGTATACAAATACGATATATAATATTAGTGATAGTGGATTAATCTTGGTTAGCGAACTTAGCGATCATATCTTTCAGACTTGACACTCCTGGCGCTCCACAGTAATACAGTGGCTTAGCATGGCTCCCATCACAGCGCTCTAGCATTTCAAGGAATTCATTTCTGCCAGGTACAATTTACATCACCTCGGTCGAGGGTGGCAAATGTTGATTGATGTGTTGCGAAAGGGCATTAGGGCCGCCGCCGAACTCGAACCACGATCCGTGTGATCCAGAGTCCGATGACATATCCACTCGACGACGACACCTCTACATTTATGGGAGCTGCATGGCATTTTCTTTCATTTCCTATGTTGGAAGACGGTATGGATGGTTTGGGTATACTTTATTCACGATAACTGTTATTTTCATTTGAGCGATGATAACGTCTTTATGTAGGGGTGAGCAATAAAACAAAGAAAACCTTGATATGTTATTAATTTAAATCATCTTTTTCAATTCGTATATGAATCAAGATATGTCTTCACGCTTATATCAAACGGTTTTATGTTACCTTGTTCCTTAGTACTAGGATTATCTTCTCTGGATTTCTCAGCATCCACGTTCTTAGTGTCCGTAGCTTCTTTCCCCGAGGATTTCTTGTCCTCACTATTCTGACTTGGCCCTTGATGAATTAATGCACAAAATTGATAAAATCAAATATACTTAGCCTAAACATAAATGGGAAACCATGTGAACTATTTTAATGCACTTAACAATCGATTCGGAAGTACTGATGAAATGCTACATTTATGTAGGTATGTTGTTTATATCATGTGAAAGCTGACTAAATTCTAAGACGATATTGTGATTGTGACTTGTTCTTTTATGACAAAATATCAGCTAACAGTAATGAGAATGTATAGTCATTGAACCCAAAAATGTACATCTCACCGGTGGTTGTTTTAACGACTAGGTCCTAGTTTGGCCTTGAGGAACTCCAAAAATCGCTACACCGTCGAATGATACACAATTTCATATTCCAAGATTTTCGGCAAGTGACAATGAAAATAAGAAAGCATGTTCTGCATTTTGACTGGGAATTCGAAATGCTAGTATTGTTTCAGTCTTAGAGATTCTTTAAGTGATTAGAAAATGTAAATAATTTCATTTATATCTTATTTTACTAATTAAAAAGATATATATTTAAAACATCCCTTTACCTTCCACACTAGTGTCGGCTTCAGTTTGTGCTGCTGGCTCTAAATCTTTCTTCGCCACTTTACCATTTCTTGTGCCTGTAACAAAGGGAAACAAACTATAATATGGAATATCTGTACACAATGCCCATTCATACGTATTGTTAATTGTGAACACAGGGACGTTAAATTGAGGTTTAACTCTTTCCGTGCTGTAGGTGGCAAATCCTGCCCCGGAATTTTCCTTTACTACGTGGGCAGGTATAATCAAATCTTTCTTCCTGAAATTTAAACAGCTTCATTTGCTTTTGTAAGCGTAGTCTCATGTAGTCTCATGTACACATGTACATGTACACATTCTCAGCTCTATTCAGCATTGACACAAAATGTCAGAACTGACTAATTGACTTTGAAAACATTTCTTCACAAATTAAGTATCTGGGAGAGGTTGAAGAGTAATATTTTTCAAAAAACTATTGGTTCACATAATTAAAGATACTATGTCCCTTTTGCAGCCAAAATCAAATTATGTAGAACTTTGCAGGAATCATGAACATGTCATGTATGTCTTATCTGTGAAATTTAAACGTTAGCAGTGTCCTAATATTCAAATTATGCAAGGAAACCCGTCGTCGCTGTTTTCACGAAGTGACGGTAGTGAAAAAAAATTGCATTCACTTTGCGTTACGATTTTCCTCACTACCGTCACTTCGTGAAAACAAGGACGGTTTACTTGCTAGACTTCACTGATTGAATCTTTGCGCAGCATAAAACGTACGACCATTCAGTACAATGGTCTGAAAATCAGACCATTACTTACTGGCTCTATAGCTCCTAAGTCGATTTGACAACCAATAATCGTTTTTTCCCACATTTACAAAACTATAGAATATAAAGAAAAAACATGAGATTTCAAATAAAATGTTGCCCCACGATTCCGAAGCAGCTACTGTTTAACCTTTTTTTTATTTATTCCGAAGCAGCCACTGTTTAAAGAAATAAAAAAATATAGATGAAAATTTATATTGGGAATAGTTTATATTTGTAGATTTTAGAGCGAAGCTGGTGAATTAAAACATAAAACCTATGAAGCCGCGTAAAGATTCACGTCATATACCTAATACACTCTAACATAATAACGTAGTGTGCGGTACATACTTATTTGCATTTAATCATTCGATTGATTAAGCCTTAAGCACCATGTATGGTGGATATGTGCGCCATATAATAACCAATACTATTATTATTATTATTATTAAGCTAAGCAGAAACAAAATATTACTTAGTATAACAACTATAAACATGACGGTTTTTAACATGTCCTTGAATAATTTCATGATCTATTTGTATGCCGTAATCTATAACATATTTATGAAGTGGGAGCTAATACTAGTAGGCAATATTGTGTACTGTGTATACCATCGTTATATTTTAATAGCAAAGACTGGGAACTAGTATGGTTCATTGAGGAACTCCAGAAAAATTCGCAATGCCAGTACTTGAAAAAATTCACTTGTATCTTAAAGGTGCTATGTCCCTTTTGCAGGCCCAAAAAATGAAAAGGTTAAATTCCAACGGCATTTGAAAGTAAATACTAATTTAGAACTTCCCTAAAAAAATGGGTGCTTGAAAATATCTCTAAGTGGGAAAATAACGCTTACTACTTGTCGAATCGACTTAAGAGCTATAGAGCCAGTAAGTAATAGTCTGATTTTACGACCATTATACCGAATGGTCGTACGTTTTATGCTGGGCAAAGATTCAATCAGTTTAATTTTGGCCATTACAAGAAGTTGGTTATTGATGTAGACAAAATAATGCTCATGTACCCTTTACAGCTCATGTTATATATCATTACCAGAGAAGAAAAGGCCAGTTAATCACTCAATAGTGTCTGAGAGTGAAGTCTAGCAAGTAAACTGGTTTCCTTACATAACTTGAATATTAGGACACTGCTAACGTTTAAATTTCACAGATAGGACATCACATGACATATTCATAATTTCTGTCAAAGTTCTACAGAATTTGATGTTGCCTGCAAAAGGGACATAGTATCTTTAAGGAAGAGTGGATGGGATCAAAGAAGATCGAGCTGGGTGGTTGGAGCGGGGTGGTGGGTGGAGAGGAAATATGGGGCTGTGCTAGTGTTTGTTGTTTAGTTTTGTTTGTTTGTTCGTGTTTCCGCCAACAGTTAGAATGCCTTGTCTCTCTTACCGTCATTACTGGTGTTGTCTACGGGAGTGCCACCATTTGGGGCTTTTTCCATACCCTCTTTTTCCTCTTTATCCTCTTTCTCACCTATATGACGAACAACAAACAACAAATCAAAAAATTATTAGATCTACAAATATAAATTGATACAAAAATAACATGGGCAAGTAGAAAGTTACCCATTTAAAGTATTACTGCGTGCATGATAATTATATGAAATAACCATTTGACAAAAGGACGAAATATATAAATATATCTATATGTGTGTGCGTGCGCGCGTGCGTGTGCGTGGGTGTGTGTGTGTGTGTGTGTGGGTGTGTGTGTGTGTGTTCATGTGATTGCGTCTATCTCTTTGTCGTATTACGTTGTCAAGTTAAGGAACCCTTAAAGTGAATTTACTAGGTCAAAATATAAAGATTTAACAAGGGGGCATTACATGATAATTATGTGGCAGTATAGTAGTGGCGAAATTTCCAATTTCAGTTAAATAAAATAAATTCCCTTTTAAGACACATCTCAGGCATTTCTCTCACGGGCGGAAAGATATTCAATGTATCTCGATAATGTTAATTAAAGATTAAAACAGAGTTCGATACCGTGCTCGTTAACGGGGGTGCCTTCTTTATGCGGCGCTTCAGTGGCCGCCGTCCCAGTTCCAGTTCCATCTTTTTTCTGTCCAGTGTTTTTGTCTTCTTTCCATGCACCTATTAGAATGATTGGAATGATAATAAATGTGAAAAATAGCTATGTAAGCAACATTGAAGCATAGACCTATAAAGCAAAAGTTCAATGAGTGAACTTTACCAGAAGCTACAGACAAAACCAAATTAATTAATGAAACACTTAGTTGCGCTAAAAACAAAAAGTACCATAACAAAAACAAAACCACAGAATGTAAATACAAAACATAAGGTACATAGAATCAACAAGTATGTATGTGGCATTATATTACAAGGGAAAGAACAAACCCTAACCCTAACCCGTTTCCAAGGATCTTTGTTAAAGTGGCAAGACATTAATTGGGAGGATGCTTTTCCATGTATTCGATGCAGCCTCTGTTAAAAAAATCATGGAAGATGAGATTTTAGATTTGGGGATAATTAGTTTATCTTTGTAGATTTCTGAGCGAAGCTGGTGTATTAATTAATCAAACCTAAGCCGCATAATTACAAAAACTTTGAATTTCTTTTCTCTACATCTCACCAATACTGCCCATAAGAATAAGAGGCCCTGGAAAGATTAAGACGGCAGATTTGTAGGAGATAGGCAAAATATCATTCATGTTACAAATTTAATGATTTTATAACTGAAAAACTGTCTTTCAAATTTAACATTACCTGCCATAATCTCATGCGCAAAGGCATAGAATCCTGCACCAAGAAGTTCGTTGCTCAATTCTTTAGGACTCTTCGAAAACAAATTGATTAACTTCTTCTCAGCCACCCAGGCGGTTATAACATCTTGGCATTTTTGTCCATTCTTCACCTTTTGGTTCAGGATTTTACTCAGTGTAAGCATTTCTGTCTCCGGAATGGTAGCCGCTAGCCTTTCTGACACTGGGTTGTCTATCACTCTTTTTCTATACATTCCTGACAACGGAGGACAAAAAAAAATCATATACAAATGTTTCCATCTTGAGAATACAGGGTGGCTATGCTCTTCCATGGTTAAATGTGCCTTCATTAACTTAAATTTTCATAATTCTATCCCACTTAGTCTATATTTGTTTCATCAGTATTTAAAATGATTTTAATAATTCGTTGGGAAATTCTGACATTTTATTTCCCAAGGCATTTTTACCGGTGAAAGTTCTTCATGAAGGCGTAAAGATACCTGAAATTATGTCCAGCGCATGTTGCTTTTCGCCCAAGCTTCAAAAAGGCATATAAAATATTGTACATTATGCTAATATATGGTAAGATGCCCCTCACCCATAAGCTTCAATAACGCATAATCACATACCTGAGATGATGTCTAGTGAGAGTTGCTCCTCCTCCATCCTGAACAAAGCATCGGCCAATACAAAGCGATGGTTGAAGGTTGAAGAACGAACAGTGTCTCTCCATCTAAGAAGTACAGACTGATGAAGTGTATCATCCTTTCCTTGGTTGACTGGATCCGTGGAATGGACGTCATCAGAAACACCCAGTTGTTTCGCCAGTTTGGCCTTGTCAACTCGATTCTCAACTGCTATCACGTCTCCAAAGCTGATTTCAAATCCTGTAACAAATACGAATACCCGTTTGTAAAAGAAAATTGACTATGATTTTAATTTACCCAACATGTTCTTGTCAGGAAAATAATTGCCGGATTATCTTATCGAATTGCAAAAGTTCAGTTTTAAAACCCATTCGATTCATCAAACGCCCATGCCTTGAATAATATTATGTAGCATGGGACCCCTATATAACAATACATATGAATGTCATCGTGTTCAAAAACAGCATTTGCTAATGACGTGCCGAGACTGGCAATCAAATTATGATACATTTTTTAGAACAATCAAGTGTACCAACTCTAGAAGTGAGACCATTGTGACACAAACTCATGATGTTCTATAACTATAAGATTCTCACCAATGTAGTAAATGATAGTCAAAGAATTTCACCAGCAAATAGAATGTGTAGAAATGACCAAAGATTTTTGTCCCTTTTGCAAAAACCGATTATTACAAAAGCTCATTTTATGTAAGAACTGCCAACGATTTAAACATGCTAACATGCAATGTAATAAATAGCCGATCTCTCTGAGCTTTTAAAGCCTCACTTAAGATCCATCTGCATACATAGGGATATATTAATATATATATAATTGATTATATAATGTTCCTCTTCTTTAAATTCTTCTTTACATTTGTGTCTTTATAAAGTTGTAAACATTGTAAAAAAAAAAAAAGGTTTATCGCTCACCAAAAACGATCGCCCTTGCCTCTTTAGAATAACCTGCCTGTTTCAGGTGCCTGGCCATTTTCAATCGGTCATCAGTGTTCACCTCCTGCATGAACTTGACAGTGCCTTGCCTCAGATTGTGAGGTCCAAGGTTGCGTCTGTAATGGGTAAGCACTTGATCGCTTATGTTGAGAGCTTTGGCAAACGGGTGAACGTCGGCCATGATGAGGCGAAAGGCTAAATCGATCAGCTCTACATTGAAGATATCGTCTGATTTTTTGGCGGCAAGAAGGCAGACTAGAAAAGATAATATAAAACAAGTAATTTGCATTGTATCACTTGAAAAATAATGTGTTTGCAAATCATACTTCCCAAATAAATGACCCCTTGCTAATACAAATTTATTTCATTCAGATTAACGTGTCTAAGAAGTGATATAGACAAGTGTTTACCTGAACATTGTCCTTTCGAAGGATCGACATTGCGCTCACTTTTTTATTTATATTTCAGCATTTCTCGCTCTAAAATGTATAGGGTGAAGAATCATATTAGGGTTAATTCCAATAAACTATTAAAAGGATAATTTTCTGAGGTCACATGGGCGGGATGCCGTTCTATGTATTATTTTATTAACATCGAAAGTTCATAAGTAGTTCTGAAAAGGGACTGTACCCTCACTTTGTAATTTCAATTAACTTGTTTTATAATATATCAAACATTATTAGGGAGAATGGCATTGGCCATTAAAAAGACCCTTTCGGAGGTCATCAGGTTCGACAGGGCAACATCGACATATTACGATAAAATACCTTACCGTAGTGTGAATATTTATCAGGAAAAAGCTGTCGTAGAATTTCTCTTGGGGTTTTTTTGGAGAACAATGCGTCTTTATGAAATTGTTCATGTTCGGAGTCTAACTTTGGTTTCAGCACATTGATTATTTTGGTTTCGAAAAGTAGTTCTTTTCCTCCTGGAGACTGTTGTTCCGGATATCTGTCACACCATATCTGCTACAGAACTCAAGTAGAACTGATGACCCAGTACAACGACCAATGCGATCGAGTTCGTCACGTGATATAGCTGAAACTGTAAGGGAAAACAACATTTTAAACACGATCGCAACAACGAAGAGCAATTTCAATGCTATATTATTTTGCCTATTAAAATCATGTTTAGATAACATATCATGATCGCACATATCCATTAGCATGACGCAAAACACTATTGAAACTGCTTTAGGTTGACTTTTTGAAAGTCTTAGCAATCGTGTTTAAAAGAAAAAGGTTTATAAAGGGTTGACATGCTACACAGTTAACGGTGTTTCAACTTTTCTTTGCAGAGTGCCGTGTCAAGGATAGTCACAGGCATTTTTGGAGTAATTACGCACATGTAATCTTATCAAAAGTGCTGTTAAACGATTCTTGGTCCGGCCCGTTTTACGTGTAAACAGAAAGGAAATAGTACCGGCAAAGGTACAGGGAATAGTACAGAGAATAATACAGGAAATATTAAAAGGAATAGTACAAGGATAGTACAGTGAATAGTACAGGGAGTAGTACAGGGGATAGTACCGGGAATAGTACAAGGAATAATAGAGGGAGTATTACCAATAGTGTAAAGCAAGTGTGTAGTCCAGTGTCTAAGTACAGTTATGAAACAGGACCCTGATGTTATATATTGTTTGTGGCTATATATAATCGTTAATAACACTCTCAACAAATTAGAGAAATCATGAGCAAGGAATAAACAATTCAACCACGAAACATTCCTCAACAATGTATCAAAATCTAATGGCAACCTATATTTGGAGATGTAGAGCTATTTGAAATGCCAAAAAAAGTCTTGTCATAAACAGGAAAACTAAACAGGCATACGTCCTAGAAACATCTTTGAGTTGGATTCACCTTAAAGGTGTAAGAACGGATTGAAGAATTTCAACTTACCAAAACTAACTTCAGATTCAGCGTTATTAGCTGGTTGGGTAACTATGGTTGGCGTTTCTTCTAAGTCTCCAGGGCTGCTTTGTGGCACAGGTTTTGAAGAAGCGCCGCTGTCCAATGTAACTTCTATGGAGTCAAAGTCAAAATGAAGAAAGGAATGACACATTTTTTCATTATGTAATAACAAAAAAAAATTAAATGGAGTCTTATTCAAGCCACGTCGGTATTATACCTGCTCTTCCTGCAGTCTCTGCAATTATTTCACAGAAATAATTGACGCAAATATTTTTTAAAATCTTATAACTTTCGAGACTTAGGCTGTTATAATTATCGCTCCGGCATCACCACAGAATCAATAGCATTTGCGCAGGTGGTTGTGTGTGGGTGTGAGTGGGTGTGTGTGGGTGAGTGTGTTTGAATGTGTGTGTTTGTTGGTTCTTTGATTGAGTGATATTTTTTTTACCTATTTTACTTCATTTTTTTTTTATTTTCCTGGAACTGGTTTGGTGTTGCATTTAAAGGCATGATTTAAAGGCACACTGTCCTACTTGTAGCTACTTGCTCCCTCTATATCGAAAAACCCCAATCGGTGCCTGTTGGTCCCCCATGATCCTCTATTTCTTATGTTAAATGAGAGCTGAGTTAATGAGATAGCCACCTGTCACAGTGACCTCGCTGGCTCGCTGTGTGGTCTAATCCCTTCTGGCTGAAGTAGTAAAGCCTACCTTTAAGTAGACAATGTCATTACCAGTTAAATACTTCCAGTCAACATAGCACGTAATTATAAATTATATATGAGTGCCTGGTTTTCATATTTAAAAAAATTAGTTATGGCATGTTAAAGCAAGAACTAACTGTTATTTTTCATTCTGTTAAAACAAACTTTAAATGTTGATAATGCTCTTTTATAAAGTCAAATTTTCTGTAGGATTTAAGGCTGGCCAATGATTGTTACCTAATCTTTTGCACAACAAATCTTCGGGGTTTACAAATGAAAGTGACAGGAAAATTTCCCCACTCACCTTTCCGAACCTATTAAAGCAAAACCCTACAATACTATATAGTCCACCTATAAATGTTCAATCGAAAAACAACTAGAATTGCTATTTACCCAAGCAAGAGGTCGAGAACAAAATATTACTAGAGGAAAATAGTTACGTTGTTTCCATGTATCTTTCAAATTATTTACTTTTCCATATTTGTAATAATCATCATGCCTATGTATAGCTTAAACAAATTGTTCATGTACCATGTCAATGAATTTATCTAATAAATACCCCCAGAATACAATAACTACCTAACAATGGCGGAGTTTAACATTACTCACTGCTTCCAGATGCACTGGCTCCAGAACTCTGTTTTTCATTTGTAATCGTCACACATGCTGGCATTTTCGTGGTTGATATCATGACTTCACTCTGTTCTTTGCTGATGAAATTACCTAAAGAAGAAAGTTAAGCATTTATAATAATAATGTTGTTTACCCAGCGATTTCTCCCATCATCATCATCATCTTAATCGCCGTCGCGGTCGTCAATGCTGTTCTTCCTGGGGATCCTACTCATTAACTAATTCGTATTGCTATATGTAAAACCTTGTTTGACTCGTTATATGGTAAAGATAATTGGAAATGTACGTATATATTTTCTGCAATTTCTTATAAGGCAGCTGAAGGTAGCCTAGTGGAAATGATACCGTCTTCAAGATTTTTAGGTGTATGAAAATGCTTTTGATGACGTTTAAGATTAGGTAAACCAAGTGGAAGGACTGAAGGACTGATCGCAGTGATAAACACAAACAATCTTTGTAATCATGAGTCTTCCATTACCCCCAAGATGGAGTATGCCCTTTGACAACAGTAAAATATATTTCTAAGAATTAAGGTTATATAAACCAAAGGTTTATCACTATAAGTAAACTGATATCAAACACTACTCAGTTGTTTTCGAAAATAATCTCTCTCAAAATGAGTGATCACTGACGAGAAAACAGAAAGAGAATAGATTGATAATTAACTCTTTTCTTTTTTTAGATAACACTCTGGAATAAATTGCAATTCATTCGTGAACAAGTTATTATTGACATTGATCATTGACTCCTGGGCAGTAAAAAAATACGTTCTTCTTCATAATAATAATAATAATATTAATGATATTAATAATAATAATTATAACAATGACAATAATAATAATAATTTAATAGTGTTGTGTTGCAAGGGAAGCAATATCTGCTTTAATGTTGTTCTTCCTGAGTGTCCTGTAATTATTATTACCCAAGCAATTGCCTGGTACCCATTTACACCTGGGTGAAGAGTGACAAACTAATCCACTATACCACGACACCTTCGCAATCTTACGATACCGCCAAGAGAGTATACCTGCGATATCCTGGCGGTTGCACTGTTCTGCCGCTTGTCTCAATTTGCGCCTGATTTCGTAGTTACTGCACTTTTGATCCATCACCCACTCTTTGAGCATGCCGTTCGTCCTGAACATCTCGAGGTCTTCTTTATTCCTGGCAGCTATGGCGTCTTCAGAAACTTTCAAGGTGTTTCCAAGTTTCTGACAGTGTCGCTTGGTGATACTGAGAGCAAACTCCTTTAAGACCTCGTCTGTCAGTTCGCTCTTGTACTTATCATGGACTAGATATTTGAGAGAAGAAAAACTCCGTTCGGTATTTTATTTCACTGGTATAATTGATAGATATAATGTTTTAACATTAATATGCTAGGGGTGTTTTACAAAGATCCTAAGTCGAAATTAACTCTAAGTTGGACTTAAACATTATGGAGAGCCAATTAGTCTTAAAATACAATATATATTCAAAATCAAATATTCAAGTTTTTTATATTTTTCATAAATTCCACATCATGAACATGAAATCTCCTTGATAATAGAAAATATGAATGATTTGAATCAACATTTTATGCCTTTTAAAGTAACTTTTACAAAATATTTTCAGAGATGCTAACAGCTTTCCATAATTGTTAAATTCATCTTAGGATCTGTGTGAAACACCCCACTGATATTGATACAATTCCATATCTTGGCTATACATATATGTAATAAATAAACATAATTTCTAAGAATACATAATTTTTACTTCGAACTGTTCTAACGAACCAAGAAGATTATTTTCAGCACTTCTTGCTCTTCAACAAATTTATTGAAGGAATGCAGCCTCCCATATACTGCTACTCCTATATTTCGTTTGGAAAGAGCAAGTTAGTAACATTTTCTCCATTCTTTCTTTTCCCTAATGTCCTCAAATGACGGATCGTAAACAAAGTACATTTCAATACTACAATTTGAAAAGATTCTGTAATAATGACTGCAATTTTCTATTTAAAAAAAACTCATTATGATTAAACTTCAATTATATATGTAGAAGAAATTAATAATAATTAAAATAATATCTTATATTTTTATAGCGCACATTCCGCCACGCAAGATGCTCTAGACGTTCCAATACTATGCCGAAAAAACCCCTAAACCCCCTCCCCCCCCCCCCCTTTTGAGTTTTTTGTTGTTTTTTTATAAAAAATAAAGAAAAATAAAAAAAGATATGCCAATGGCTGACCTAAAAAAGATGACCTATTTTCAAATTTCGAGACCAAAAAAAAAAAAAAAAAAAAAAGTGTCCTCTTACCCCCCCCCCCCCCTTGAAAAAATCCTGCGTACGCCCCTGGCTACCGTCATACACTTTCCACTTAGGTGTTAAATGTAGAAGAATACGTACTCTGGAAGAATGTCTTGGCCAGTTGGTGATACACAAGCTTATCACTTTCATTTGCCCGTCGCCCTGCTTCCTCTAACGCCAGGCAAGCTTGAACCATTCGGTTTGGTGGCAGTGTTTCTGCTCCCAGGTCTACATCTTCTGATCCTGCAGTATACATCGGTGTTCGTTCATAGCTATCACCTGCATGTTGGTTTGTTTGCAGTTTCCGACAGCACCATATCCCTCGGGACGATGGTTGCCTGGTTGGTTAATCACAGTTGGTATTAGTGACAGCAGGTCTGAGTGACAGTTTACATGTATCTCATTCTAAATTCTGATTATTGTGTGTTGATTTTATAGAATGTGATTATTGCATTTCGATTGTCATTTTTCAGTTTTTACAAGCTTTGTATAAATAATGTCTTGATTTTTGAGTACCTTAGGTGGTATTATAGGAAGGTATGTGCCCTACTCATCTAAAAGTCTGATTCTTATTCTAATTCTTAGATTGTATTATAGGGAGATTGACGCGCTATACTAAACAAAAATTCAAATTCTTGCCTTGTTTTCACAGTTTCGCCTTCTTTTTCCGGGTTCGGTGACATCGACTTCTCTTTCCACGTCTTCATCAATTGTAAGTCGTTCTTAATAACATCGCTTCTTGAGTTTCCAGAAGTTTGAGTATCTCCTGGCAACATGGTTATTTTCTCGTTGCGAGAATATAATGCTCGTAATACGGGCTTTACTGTCTCCTTGCAACTCTGGACGTGCCAGCAAATGTGTTCCAAATCATGGTCGTCAAGAGAGACCATCTTGTCTGTACGGGCACGGAAATCTGACCAAAAAAAAAACAGTGATCGGAGATGGTTAGGCCTACTACACGTGTATGCTACAGCTTTAAATATCAGTGTAATATCATTCTGTAATGAGATTTCTTTTTGCCACTTATTAGATCCGCCTATTTGATCAAAAAGGAATCAACAGGGAGTAAACATGGCCTACTAATTCAGTTAACCCTGCCCTGGGTCTATTAAACTCACGCTTTGCACAGAGAAACTGAGACCTCAAACTAACTCCCTTCATGGTCAACCTAATCTGATCAAAAACTCGAGCTCAACGTATACGGGCATCAGAACATTTTATATATATATAGAGTACCGAAGTGTGACGTCATACTGGCCAAGTTGTAAAGGTACCCGGTTCAAAACAATGTTGTGCTAAGCAATGGCGTGGTGATCACATGAGCCCCAAACACCGAATGTGCCCTGCTCCAGCCCAATGCTTAAATAATTTCGCCACGAACCTCACGTGCAGGCTCTTTAGTTAAGAACCAGTATCCTGGACGTCCAACGAATATTTCGATACTCCATTTGGTTGCCTGCGATAATATCATAACAAAAATATGCACCTTTAATTTTCTCTGGATCCTCTATGGCTGCATATAGCCGCGTCCTGACATCTCCTGTGCATTTATCCTTCCATTCACATAATTCGCTGTACAGGTCTGCCTGTGAGCGCTCGGGGTGATGTTCTGATTCTCTTTCGGGCCCCACCAGCTTGTTCACGATACCGTCCGCTTCAACAATGTTGCACATTTCGACAAGCTCCCAAAGTTCCAAATATGAAACAGGCCCTGAAACAAAATTATGGATGCCTTAAGTATCGTATAAGCAATACAAACGTTCTGTGTAAAAACCAGAGTAGGAGTTAAACATTTTACACTACGTAAACAAAGTTTAAAGTGTATCCAAACATTAAATAACCATAGAGTCAATCGGTACAGAGCGTTTAATGAGAAGACTGAGTTCTGGAAAAAGTGACAAATCATTTGTGAGCATTTATTTGGTGATTTGGAATACTTCCCAGGGAGTGGAGCGTGTGCACTATCATGTGCGGATTGGCAGTTGAATCCAATGTCTAGTGTATTATTACAATGTAGAAACCCTAATAAATAAGTAGTATTCATCCTATTCAAATGTGACTGTTATTATTAGTAGTAGTAGTATTTATTATTATCGTTATCACTATTATCACATTATACGCCTACTAAATGATCCGTTGTGATGTTGAGAGAGAATTGCAAACACATTTACCTTTATTTTTTGTCTGAGATGACTTCAACCACTTACAAATGTTCTTTCTTCCTCTCCAAATGAAGACTGCAACTACGTTAAGAGATATAAATATGTTTGATGTTATTCATATTTCCATATACAGGAAGCACACACACATACACACATACACACATACACTCGCAACCAAATTTTACATATGTATACATATAATTATAAACCAATGAACGAATCAGTAAAGTAAAACATATAAGATATTTTGATAAACTGGCTTAATAAAAGCTAAACATTTCAAGGGTCAAAATCCTTCATAATGCTCTAGATCGAAGATTTAAGACTTTAGTCATCATAACAACACCACCACCATCTCCCATCTGTCAACTGGTGTGCCATTTTGTTTTCTTTCGCCATCAAAATTAGATTACTATTGATTGTTTAAGAAAGAAGCAAAATATTAAATATTCATCTGTAGCCTCAAAGTTTAACTTTATTCTGTACTTTATGTACATTTATTTTGATGAAAATAGACCTTCAATAAAACTGAAATTAAATTTAGCTACAGGGTGGGAAAGGTGAGTGGTGTAGCTCCTGTGAATAACTTGTCGTTGTTATGATGATAATCATTCATATGTACGCACTCTGTTTTAATGTTTTTGTTTATATTATCATCATTATTTATTGTAGTTATTTTAGGAGACCGAAGGTGAACAGATCAACCTTGTCTTGAGATTTGAAGCGAGTGATCCCTCGATCTTCATTTCAATTTCAATATTTCATTTTTCTAGAAAAGTCCTTGTAAAATAGTTTAGGGTTTTGTTTTGTTATGTGTTTTGATGTTTGTATTTCATATCTCATGATCGTAGATAAAACAAAACCAAACCATTCATCATGCTCATTGCGTTTAGTTGAATAAAAGAAATCAACTTACGTATTATGATGAGGATTATCACGGATAAGGCACATACGGTGGAGATGATAATCACTGCAAATAAACAAAAATATTGTTTAGAAAAAACATGAGTGATTTACTGTTTTTTAATTTAAAAAACAATAGCTCTAGACGCTTGTTCAAATTAGCCAAAAAACTGACACATTATACTGCGACATATGTGACGGAGCCAAATAAACAATATTTTTAATTTCGAGGCAAAATTATAAGGTCATGAATTACATCGAAAAATAGTAATTGACTTTATCCTAATTATTTATAAAATGTAATTGTCTTCTAAAATAAAGCAAGAGTGTTCAGCTTTCCGGCAATTCATTTAAGAACAAAATTCGGCATGAATGGAAGAATTATCATGCTGAACCCTCAACAACCCTTTCCAAATCTTTTTCCCACTTAAATGAAAATTTACCGTCGTTGACCAATAATCTGTGTCTTAAAAATGTCATCTGCTGTAGTTATTTCACGAATATAAAAATTAGTGTTAATAAATGAATCAGTAAACAACCATGTATAGAAAAAAAAACTTTCTTGATATGCATTTCACTTTTGGTATAACGAGGAACACTGTATATTGGCGACAACTCTTGACTTTCATACGAAAATCGAGTTTGATAACTGCTCTCTTCATTTACCTCTTACCCCCTCTCTACCCAGGGGTATAGAATTAGTACCTGAGAATGTTGGGGTGGTTTTATTGCAGGGCCCTACTTTTAGGACCATAGAACCCAAAAGATTGGGAAAGGTCATTATCATCATCATTAATACCATACCTGTCTTGGGTTTGTTGGTAGGTTTGGGAGGGAAGACTGTGTAATTCTTTGTCGTGACGGCTTCAATGGTTGTTACAATTGGTGCTGTATTCACAGTGACGCTCGTGATTGCCTGTCTTCGTGTAGTGGTGGGCAGGATGGCGACACAGACGTAAGGATCAGCGCTTGGCGTTGCGTCGATAGCCACAGTCACATCCTCTGTCAAGCCGTCAGGGTTGGTTGATCTTTGGGGTGCCTGGAGGGGGACGGTTGTGCCCCCTAGGGTCCAAGACAGTGAGACCACACCTCTGGGCGCTCCCATCGTTCGGCATGTCAGTTCGGTAGAGTCCGCACCTGTCTCTTGTGTGAGGATGCATGATTCTGTTCCCCTGCCGTCTGCTCCTGTTGGGCATTGGTCTATAGTTGGGAAGGGGTCTTGGGGTGGGGCTGTGAATCAGATGAAGAACACCAAGAATAAAAGTGAGAAACGTTAATATGCACTCCTTGTTCGGGATTGCAGTGCCGTAGAATCCGCATCAATTTGTCTCGAGTGGTGCATGGTTATGTTGCAGTTTAACCCAGACATATCAGGCATTGGTATATCATCGAGAAGTTTTAGGAACAACAACAAAAAGTGGGAATATGTTAATACACACTCATAACAAAATCGAGTAAGCTTTCCACTACAATTCTCATTTATTTTGTATCAATAAACAATGACATACAAATTAAACTTAAGACATGACGCACAAAGTGAGAGTGACATTGTACAGGAAGTGAGTGTGAACAGTGGAAACAGTGCATTTGAATATAATGGCCTCCAGGCCTTCACAACTTGATTGGTGACGTTATGACCGTTCCTGGAACCCGTTTCACAAAGCTTTTTTCAATGGCAACTGACTAAAATCAGTTACAACTCTGCTGATAACCAATCAGAAGCAAGGATTTCAGTAGATTATAACGAAAACTGCCATTTGTCACTACTGACAAGTTTTGTGAAATGGGGCCCAGTGCAACAGGTATAAGGCTTACTTTTAACCGTTGCCTCTGTGTAGTTCCGGAGAATGAATCCATTGAAGTTGGAGATCCTGCATATGTATCGTCCTGCATCATCGTCCGTGACATTATGGATCACCAGGGAGAAGTCTTCGGTAAGGTTGTACTTGCCAGACACGTAACCTGACCCACTGACAACACGTGGAGGTGGGTACCACGTGACCAGGTTTGTACCTGTCGTCAAATCAGCTCCTGTGATTCAGTGTCACGTGATCAAAGTAAATTATGGAAAGGTCATTGCAATGTGAGAGAACAAGTCAACATTAGTTTGAGAATATGGTTGGTAAGAGATGGACAGACTGCATCAAGGCGGACTGCAAAAACAGACAAGTCGACTCCCTGACTAAAGCCACTAGGGTAACAGAAGACAGGAAGGGGTGGCAAGCCATGGTGAAACAGAAGCCATCATACATCCCAGTGATGGTGTGGACGGCTTAAGTCAAGTAAGTCAATATGTTTTTATTTCACTGGTTTGATGTCAATGCTTGTACTTCAGCAACTTACGGAGGACATGATAATAATGATAGCACATTGACATGGTTTCGAACCTGGGACCTACCGGTCACGAGACTACTGTTCAACCACTGAGCCATCATGCCTCCCTTATTGTGAGAGAATAAGATTTTCTGTAATGCCGAAAAGAAATGTTGGCATCCGTTAAAATGTCGATTAATACAGTAGAAAGGGGGTGTTCTTTCCTCAAAACGTTTAGGCACCGTACATCGAATTGATTTGTGAGAAAATATTATAGTAATGACTTGTTGTGAAAGAATATCATATTAACGTTAATAATGATACCCACTATTACAATTACTACTGCCACCACTAGAGGCCGTTTTCTTGAAAAACCACTAATTACGATTTAACGTCGAGTGTGGCAAATGTAGTTTCATGTCTTGTCAAAGGACGTCTGTGCTTCGGCAGGGATATCTTGAGGTTGACAGTCCGGTGAATTTTCAAGGGGACATCAATACCGGTTTTGTTCGTACTTTGTTTTCTTTTTTTGTAATGACCTATAATCTAAACAATTAACACACATATGATTACATGACAATTGTTCTCACGTTACCTTTAAGCCAGAAAACAGCCAACGGTGCACCGTTGAATCGGCATTGTAGCATCCCATCGTATCCTCGAAGAAAAACAGGTCTGATATCGACTATTACCTTGTTCTCGGGTATTTCTACGAAACAACAGAATGTGAAATTTATTATTTTCAAAATTATATCGAGAATTTTTATAACAAAACTTCAACTATATTGTGACGGCTGAAGTCGTGCGTACAGTTATTTTTTTGCAAACTTGAATTAGACAGCTACGTGAATATATGCTTTTGATAAGACATGGGTCTTGTTGTCAGTAATGTCTACACCATTATTTCTTTCTAAATTGTCTGCGCTTTCCATTGACCCACATTACTAACCAACCAGGATGGTGGCCGTATTGATTTTTTGTTAAATATGCATGGCGGCCTCTAAGGGCGGTTTGCTTAGCGAGTTAAAGAAACATAATGGAATTGGCTAGAGAAATGGAGCAAATTTGTTGCCTCTTTTACACATCATATCCTGATTATCCCCCTATAGGCTTTAAAAAGACCCCCTAGGTGGCCATGGCATATGATGATACATCCTAGAAATGCCAATCCGGTCAGTAAATGGCCTTTATAGTGGCCTCATGATGCGATACTAGCATTTTATCGAATAAGACAGTAGTAGCGTCATAACAGGATTACTTTACCCTTAAAAACATTTTAAAGGCACAACATTCCATTGTCATATCCATCATTTATTCGAAAGTACCTTTAGCTTAGACGGTGGGTATGTGATTGAATGTTGACAAAATGGCGGCACCAGCCACCAGGAGTCCATCAAACAGTCAAAACAAAATATGAATCAGATTTCTCTTTACTTGTAAACGCAATAATAATAGAAACCTTTATTATTCAAGTCCTATCTCTTTTTTTAAATGACTTTCAGGTCAAATACCAACAAATTCGATTTTTAACCGAATCAATGCCCCAGGGGGCCCTTCTTGATATCAAATCTATGAAGTAACATCCGAATCAGATTCTCTGTACCTGTTAACTTAAAAAATGTTTTTAAAAATTGAGATAGCAATTTTCGTTTTGGAAATTCTTGAATGTAAACCTATTGTGGCGGCCATATTGGATTTTACCAAAATGACGGTGACAGGAAGCGCCCTTCTTCACATCAAATCAATGGAATAACATCAGAATCTGACTCCCTGTTCCTGAAAACCCCATAATAATAGAAATCTCATTAATGCAATAATCTATGAGCTCAAATGTCGGATATTTTATATTTGACCAAAATGGTTGCCCGTCGAATATCAAAATAGGATGATACGGTCGTCATCTGGACCAAATTCGGTGCTTTTATGACAATCTGCACCAAAAAGTCCCTAATTGTAACATATCCCACTATAAACCGCATCTTGTATCGACCACACTAATTTCCTGCCTATGCAATTATGTGGGAATTCACATCGGTTGTTTACTCACATACTAATTTAGCAGCGTAGTTTAATACACTTTGGCCCGAATTCACAAAGGAGGTTTGTCGACAAACCTTGGTTTTCGTACGTCATATGACGCGTTTTACGCGTTTTTTACAAACCTGGTTTGTAAAGAACAAAAGGAGGTTTGGCGAAACAAAAGGAGGTTTGAGCTCAAACCTTGGTCTGAGCTCAAACCTTGCTTTGTGAATTCGGCCCTATGTTTACCAAACTTTGCATGAGAGAGTCATGACAATTTATGAGCTATTTCCAAAAGTCTACGCATGACTTGTAATTACCGCTTTGTGGCCAGGTGACATAGCAAAACCTTTATTTATGAGGTCTATGTTCCATCCCCTATGACTTTTCACCCCCCCCCCCCCCCATTTCGCTCTATACAGAATTATGACTTAGTTTGACAGACATTAGCACCGAACAAGAAAATACTATTATCATTTTTTTTATACTCTTTCTCTCTCTCTTTCTCTCTCTTTCTCTCTCTCTCGAAATTCTTTTCCCTCCTCCTCTCTTCTCCACATTTCTTTTCTCTTCTCATCTTTGTTATTCTTTTTCTTCTTCCTCCTTTCCCCTTAACTTACCCCCCCCCCCTCCCCCTCACACTACAACTCTCCCCCCCCCCCCCCCCCCTCCCTACCCCCTTCTTTCGCTTTCTCCTCTGCTGGCTTTGTCAAACAACTGGCTCACCTTATGTTACTAATTTAACAACAGAATATTTACACATGGATTCTATATATTGGCATATAATGTGGAAAGGGACCATATGCATGCCAGTATGGTTCGTAGAATTTTGGTTAAATACATGTGAATAAATACACTGGCACATCAATGTAATATTTCATGGGAAAATGGAAATTCAATAAGTCATAATTTCCCACGTTTTCCAAACGGGTAAACTCGAATGCTATTCTCATGTTTCACTGTTTCGTGACTACTCGGCATGAAAATGTACCAGCAATATGCAATAAAATTCACTTCAAAAGGCTTGATAGATAAATACACTGCCATGATCATAGTACTAGTATTAGGCCTATGGGTCCAGATTAAATTTCTACTTTGAAGAGCTAGTGCAGGACGAATATCAGCATTATGTGAATGTCTCTATTCAGTGACTGTACATTTTATTTAGATTTTGCAGTCCATACCAAAGTACTTGATACAGCATGAAAAAACAGAGTGTTACATTGGACAATGTATGTATGTAAGGAAATGTAGTCCGTTTTCTCTAGACGACATACAAACGAATCACGTGAAAATGGTCAATGAGAACACGCCATTACTTTCACTTTTAACATTCGTTATAGTGTATACTGTTGCGCATTAGTTTGAATAAATTGTTTTTCACTCGTTTTAATGAAATGCGTGTGACTATCAGGTACATAGCCAGAGTTTGATGTTTTTTTTTTGGGGGGGGGGGCACCTACATGTAATCGATCGAGGTAAAAAAAAAAGGGGTAAAAAAAAGTTCAACCGATCTTGGAAATTTTGGAGGGCACGTGCCCCCCCCCCCCCTTGCCCCCAAATTTGACTCCGACTTTACGGGCAACAGTGTAGTTAACACTCAGGCAGCCTAAGCATAGACAAACAACTCGCGAGAATGGTTAAGCCATATTCATTCTTATATTATCATATCATCGTTAATCATGCATGGGAACAACGACATGCTATGCAAACTTTCTGTATAATACAATAATGCTTGTTTGCGTATTAATGCAACAGCATTTACGGTCGTACAGATTACCGTATATATTTCCGTGTATCATTTTCTATTGCTTCACGCTTGAATCCAATTTCCCAATGCTCACCCCAACCCGGACAAAGAATCCAGATTTTGCCTCGTCACTATTTATGATTTCGCAATACACTTATTGTGGGAGACATAACACGTATTTATGTCCTGACAGAGTCGTTAATTGAGGAAGCTGGCAAGCATGAAATATATTCCGCTTTTTTTTCTTACAGATTTTTTATAAAATATTTTGAGGGACAAACGTTTATAATTGTGCTTGTCGATGCATAGTTTGGAATGAACCCAAAATTTTTGTTAAGCATTCGGACACATGACACCCCATACCCGCACCCCTCCCCCCAACCCTCCCACCTCATCATACAACATTTTACAAAGTCCTGAAGAATCATTCTATTGAAGCTATATCCCCAAAACTGTATTCATTTCGTTCTGAATAAACTGGCTGCACTTTAAATGATCCATTCCTTTAAACATGTTAAGCATGACGCAAGTCAGTATAATGTACATTGTAAATTATACGGAGCGATAATTTTCACACGCACACCTGATAATGGTAATAGAAAAATGTAAATCATATACTTGTCCTTCGAACAAGTTTTTATTATGATAATGACATTCGAAAATAGATATGGCCGTAAAATAATGATAAAAGTGACGGTAGGAAGAACTTATATAGCTATGCCATAACGTCGGTTCAAGCTCTGTTTATGACGACACCTTTTCTATATGTATGATTTTGTGTGACCATGATACAAAATTTATATAGATGACATATAAATGGAAATAAATGAACATCACATCAAATATTAGTTCATTGCATCTTTAATTCGTCAGTCACTAAAAGCGACCAAGAGCAGCCCAAATGCTTCAGGAGCAGCCAGCAGTCCAAGTTTCTCCGTGTTTTGCTGCTCTTTGCGGCTCTTGGTCATCCCTTGGCGGCTCTAGGCTCTTGACTGCTGTTGTATTATTTTAGTAGGACCGTTCACCGGATTTCTTCTCATCATTTTTTTTATTTATTACCAAGAAAATCAAATTATATTATATTTCACAGCATTGCAATAATTAAAGATTCGGTAAAAGGAGCCAACAAAAAGCAAGAACTGGTCAAGGTTATCCCCGTTCAATTTTATGACAAGAAATCAGTCATAGAGACGAGGTATAATGATCATTGAATGATAAGAAAACATTTACATTTGCACTAAAAAATGAAACATTTCCGTTGTCGTGTTGTTATCAAAAATAAATCAAGCATGGAGCACGACCTCAGATTTAATAATACAATTTAAAATACAAATATCATTTGGCACGCTGTTTATTGTGGAAATGTTGTTGGTATTATTGGTTACAGGGGTATATCATCATAATACTTACCAGACTCTGTGCGGACCATTGTCGCCATGAAGGCAATGATGACAATGACGAGCCATATTCGTTGTGTTATTCGGAAAGCCATTCTTGTTTCCATTATTATCTGTGATACATAAAGCGATATTATAATGCAAATGTCAAATTATGTAGATATTCAAAATAACATCCTGGTATCAGACAAGTCATGTGCATCGATGATACATATCAGTTACCACAATTAAAACAAACATCGTGATCATATTCATGATTAATTATTTTCATTACATTGTACAGTAAACATCTGAGAGCTATGTTTATGGTTTCGATCAAGATGACTGGTCAGTATTATTTTGATCACATTGTGAAAGGATCAGTGTCTGGAAGAGTTCGGAAATGGGAGATTGATTACCTACAGTGTATAGCAGAAAATAATAATAATGTTATTTATTGGAGAGGCTAACTACTAAAGCCGCCCATGATATATAATTATAGGGAATCCCCTGATAAATATCTGGCAGTGGGGTGCTGAATCACATGTGTTGCGGTTTATATTTAAACAAAAATGTTATAGCTGTATTGACATAAAGTGTTTATCAAAATTGACTCACTTGACGATTTTCCTTTCACTTTCACTGCTCTCCCTGGCCACTTAACAGTTTGGCAAGCCCCTAATAATTATCATGTGACTGATTATTTCATTTCATTTGATGAATGACAATAATTTTATAGCACATATAACATTAATCAGTGTACCCACGAGCTGCAATGGCGCTTCGAATATTAATATTATCCTATTACCTCAGATAAAAACTCCTGCAACCGTTGCCAACTCACATTAGGAGTAATCCTATAGGTACCCATTTATATCACCTGCGTCAAATGTAATGTGGCAAATGTCGAGTGTGGAAAATGTAGCTGTCTTTCCAAAGGGCATTGGTAAAATGACAGATACTTGAACGATACCCGTCAAGACTTATTCATAGACCATGCACAGCACCTCTTCATTATGAAGAAAAGGGGATAAACCGTCCCTTTCTAGCCAACTAATGTATACGTCCGAGTACAGGTCACATGATTCACACCCCCACTTCATAATGCAATACCACAGGTGCATGTGACTTCCTAATTCCTATAGGTAAGCATATACCTATTTTCAGACGGAAAAGTTTGATGAACCAATTACTCTACATTATTAACTAGCAATGAAAAGCGAAACTCTAACCTTTATATAGCAAAAAATTATACAGTAGTGAATGATGAAAACGTAATATTGTGGTCAAAGTCCAGAGACTGATATGGTTCTATTTACAGTAAAATACCCCAAAAATGGATGACATAAAGTAATGCATTGTACATGTACTAATAGTCATTCAATATCAACTAAAAACAAGAATGTGACTTAGTGCATTGAAATTTATACAATGTACTGGTGACCAAATAAAGCAACAAATTAAATCGAGTAGAATGGCGAAACCTTGAGTAAAAGGCAGAGCTTCAAGCCAGTCCAACATCAATGCACAACCTTGGGAAGAAACATAAATCCATGAATAAAAAGTGTATATATTATACATTCCTTCATCAGAATTTAAAGAAGATGTGATCACGACGCAAAGAACGTCAGTGTTTAGGATAGAGAGATTACAATGAGAGGACTGTGGATCACATGGTTCGTGGTTCGATACCCGCCGAGGCACTAATGTCCTTTGGCAAGACATTAATCTGTAGATGCCATTCTCCACCCAGATGATGTAAATGGGAACCCGACTGGGAAAAAAATTATCGAATGGCAGAGCGCCTTATCAGGGCCACTCGGGTGATACCGGAAGTAATAATAGTATAGTGCTTAAATACATTAGTATAGTAATCATGACTGCTTTGAGAGACATAGTTGTTTTTATACGCTCAAGGGGAGGTTACATTATTGTTATCATTTTGTTTGATCATTATTATCTTTACTATCATTATCATTATCATTATGACAGCTAAAATGGTCAGGCCTATATTTCTTTCTTTATGGAGAAAGGCATATCAAACAAACTAACTGTACTTGCGTTTTCTTCCTGTGGCGGACATTATTTAAAAAAAAATATGGTTAAACGACGAATATCTAAACATGACATTACGCGTTATCTCATGATGAGCTAGTAATTGTTATTTCAATATCATATGATACCGCATATCCAGATTGAAAGGTTAAAAACAGATTATGCGGTTATCAAGTATTTCCATTTGGGCTTTCAACATCCTCATTATTTTCAGTAAAACAAACAGAAACAATGTAAGGAAGTCATGTGAACTGTAAATGTCTGGAAACTGAAATCCCTGCATCTACTATATAAGTATGCGAATCTAAAATTCATTGATGTCAAAGTGTTCATTCCTATCTCTATCTCTCTCTCTCTCTATCTCTATCTCTATTACCCATATCTCTCCCATCCTCTCCATCTCTATCATTCCATTTCTCTCTGTTGTTTTTATTTTTGTGTTTGTTCTTTTTTTCCATTTGCGATCAGGATGGTATAAAGGTCACCCACTCAACCCAAAGCACACTGTTGGATTTAGGGGGCACAACTATCCTTCCCCTTTTGCAACAACTAACAACTCAAGTGGCATTAGAACCATATTAAGTGTTCAACCATTAATGTTGTGGAGTAAAATAGTACAATAATGCGAACTAAGTTCATTCATTCCAGGACACGTCAAATGTAGTCTACAGGCACAGACCCTAATTTGACACTTTATCAAAAAATCATTGTGCCTTGAGAGAAGTCTAGCCCAGCTACCTACTGGTTGTGTGTCAGGAGCAGTACAATACATGGCCTATGGTAGTCTTATAGTGCAGACTCACTTTTACGACTGACCAGGGTTTGTGCTTGCAGACTACGTCAAATGCGCCGTCAGTGAATGATACTACAGACAAAGGAAGAGGAACAACTATATATATTTGCAAACGTCTCCAAAATGAGTGTGTGTCGAGAGAGAGAGAGAGAGAGATAGAGAGAGATTCCATGTTACAACGTACCGCGTGTATTCAATTGATAAGTCAATATCGAATACGGTACAGGCAATTTTCACAGGTTTCATGGTTCACAGAGCAGACTATTTTTCATGCATGCAAATATCGAATACAAAATAAATGGGCAACATATAGCAGTACACTGGTGTTCGCCACTAGTAATATATAAATCTGACACAATCTCAGTGCCGGATCCAGGCTGCCCCCCCCCCCCTCCCCCCCCCCCCAAAAAAAAAACATCAGGATGGTGAAAAGTTCATCCACTCGACCCAGAGCACATTGTTGGATTTTATTAGGGGGGCACAACTAGTTTCCCCCTTTTGCAACAACTAACAAATCAAGTGGCATTATAGAACTCAACCCTTAAATGTTTTGGAGTAAAATGGCACAATGAATTGCGCCGAATGAATTGAACAATGCGAACTCGGTTCATTTCTAGGACACGTCAAAGAGGAAGAGGAACCACTAGATTTGCAAATATCTCCAAAATGAGTGAGAGAGAGAGAGAGAGAGAGAGAGATATCCCATGTCGAATACAGGCAATTTTAATAATTCACAGTTCAAAGAGCAGACTCATTTTCATGCATGCAAATATCGAATACAAAATAAATGGGCAAATATCATATAGCAGTACACTGGTGTTCGCCACTAGTAATATATAAATCTGACACAATCTCAGTGCCGGATCCAGGCGGCCCCCCCCCCCCCAAAAAAAAAAAAAAAAAAAAATTTAAAAAATTAGTGTATCATTATCCCTCCCCCCCCCCCACCACCCCCCCCCCCCCCCCCCCCCACCGCATATTCGTCTGATGATTCGCCGCAAAAAATATATTCTCTCAAATTGGGACTCGACCCTCGCCGTCGGCTGGATCCGCCCCTGCACAATCTGATATACATGGTGACGTGAGGGGGCGGCCGGGGCGCTTCAGTTTACTTAGACTTTAATAATCCTGTCTGAAAACAATAATATCAGTCAACTAACATTACAAAGATGTACATGAATACACTCCAATCTCACACAACTCACAGAATACACGTTAGCTCGTGACCCTTAGACCTACCAGATTCGTGATGGTGTTGAACTTGAAGACATACGGCAGCTATAGCTGATGTCACTTGTTTCAGACATGTATTTCCTCTGTAGAATTGAGCATTCAACCCTCGATCCGTCTCTAATGAACCTTCTCTACGATCGTATGTTGCTTATATTCTTCTCACTTTTGAAAAATGATGATCATCAAACAATGTCAAGTCTACTTTTTGAGCAACATCGATCCATACACCGATAGTAGAGTACTTGTATAGTATAGTAAATGCGAAAAGCCAACATAAAGTCAACATATCAATGTGTTACTATGGCGGTAGGGCCTACGTGGCGGGAATTCCCCGTTCCATAAACAACAGCTAGTGAGACTTTGACTTAAATATAAACAGGAACTGTTCATTGTTAATTGGCTTTCAGAATTGCCAAATATCGGGTTGAATTCAGCAAAATGAAATTCAAGAATGTCGGACTTCAATAAGGGGATTGGACAAGGGGGTACTTGGGGCGAAAAGATTCCCCCCGGTATATTACAATTCTAAAATGCAATGTATGTACTTATAGGCATAACAGCACAAATGACGGGAAAGTTGTAAATTACAATACATAGAATCGAACCAGGGGCACGGGCTTCCCGGCATTCAGAATCAATTAAAACAAAAGCGACAACAAAATGAGCAAAAGACAGACAAAATAGAAAATGCATGTCCCCTCAACCCGAAATGACTTTTCTCCTTAATGTTATAGACTAGAATAGATCTACTTCTTGTTTTAGAAGTTTAACTTCTATTCTTAATGACGGTCCTAGTAAAGTACAATATTTATTTATTGTTATCATTCAAAATATGAACTCACAAAATAAATGAATAAAGAATATTATTATCTCAAGTTTGGCCGAACAATGTTTGACTGCATTCTGTCTCAACATAATTATATATCTCTATGGTCTCAACAATACTCTTGCACGCGCCATCAGCGACCAATGTCATACATGTTGCTAAGAAACACAAATTTTCAAAGGAAAAGATTGAGTCACTGAGAAAGAAAGAAGTCGGATTTTATTGTTTTGAGCATGGAGGAAAATACAATCAGTTGATAAGATGGCTATGGAAAAACAGAGTGTCTTGAAAGAGACACACCACAGATCAGTGACAGCTCTAGGATACCACCCGTTACGGCGTGAAATAGTTGCAGGATTTGAAGGTAACGGTCCCATAGCTTATTATTTGTGTTAGCGGACATTCCACCCTGCTGAGCTGAGCTGAGCTGAGCTGAGCGTGCGTGTGAGGCAAGCGCTGACCCCGGTGGTTCTCTATCTAGGGACTCTGCTCACATTACAAATATTTAGAAGTTTGATTTAGAAACACTAGTCCACGTACTGAGTCGTAGTTAGAAAGAAAATATATTAGGGTGTCTGAACGATTTTTCAATTTTCAATTTGGGATCGTTTTTCACCATTTTTGTTGGATATTGGAGTAAAAAATGTAATCAGAATAAATACCTTTCAAATTTCAAGACTCACCGATGTTTCTATCAAAAGATACAGCCCCTCAAAAACTGTGCAATATTCATAGCATTTTGGTCAGAATGGACAGAAAAGTGGTTCACGCAGAGTTATAATTTCTGCTCAAAAGCTGCACAGCTAATGCACAGCACGATATGCAAAGCGTGGAGCAAGGGTATTTTCAAACTGTTGTAACAAATGATCCCTTGGGACTAGAGAAAAAATAAGTGCATGGATATATTCTTTACAGCTGGCCCAACTTATCCCTCGGGGGGGGCAGTTCGTGAAATTGGTAAATCTCCGAGTTACCATGGAAACGATGTTTAAATCGCTGTTTTGAGCAAGATATATTTAGAATTCCGGGGGTGGCCCCCTATGGGAAATATGGAGAAAAACCTGCTCTTTCATATGACACCACATTTATTGAGTTTCACCTTCAGGATCATTTGTTATAAAGGTTTGAATTTCAAATTTTTCATAAAATCATTGACCAATTTTGCTTGGTCGCACAATGCATGTAGACCACATAGGGATGTGTGCAATCTCTATGGGAAAGATTTTAGCACACAACATGGGGTGCGCGATCAGACACCCTAAATATATTTGTCTTAACTTAGTTAGATCTAGATCTAGGTCTAGTCTAGATCTAAAATTAGAGGGTCTAGTACTACTACTACTAGGCCGCCTAGATCTAGAATCTAGGTCTAACTTTAGACTAGGTCTAGACTGAAAACTTCAGTCTCTCTAATCATCGGTTGTTCCACTGAGTCTACGTCTGGCTCCACTAGACCTCCGATTATAGAGACTGAAGTATGGCCTATCGGGACTGTACGGAACAAATGGTTCGGTTCGACCGGACCGCGATGAATAAGATATGCAATGAGATTTTCACTCTTTACAATCCTCATAGACTAGTCATAACTGCTGCAATTATAATAAAAATTGAAAATAACATATAGGCCTATATAGCTTATTTGACTTACGATAGCTTGCTCATTTAGATCCTAAATTAATGATTAATCCGAGAAAGTCCACTAGTCTAGACCTCTAGACCTCCGATTATAGAGACTGAAGTAGACCTATGGCCTATCGGGACTGTACGGAACAAATGGTTCGGTTCGACCGGACCGCGATGAATGAGATATGCAACGAGATTTTCACTCTTTACATCCTCATAACTGCTGCAATTATAATAAAAATTGAAAATAACATATAGATCTAGACCTATATAGCTTATTTGACTTACGATAGCTTGCTCATTTAGATCCTAAATTAACGATTAATCCGAGAAAGTCTCGTCGTCAACATTATCCGTCTTGGTTTTAGTTGATGAATATTCATTTTTTCTTTTCGAACGTCCAATAGCTACCGTAGCTACGTACTAGTCAGCCCGGCTTGACCAACGAACTCCCACGAAACGAGTGCTCTGATTGGCCATTGGCTATGTTTTGGTAGGTTGAACCGGAAATATATCGGCCGCCGGGTAATAGTTTGAATGCATGAACGTACTGATTCGCGGTTCTGAGATAAAATTGGATAACTCATAGTCTAATAAGTAAGTCCGTAAATTTCACTTTCTATAATAGGTTAGCAAATTTTGAAACTGTAATTAGGAGGTATATATACCGACCTAATTTACATCTGATTTAGAAATCAGAAAATAAGATCTAAATAAAGAAAATCGGGGAGAAAATGTTTTGAACGAAAAGATGTACATCGGTGGCTCTAGCCACCCCCATGGTACGAGATCCCTGGGTTGCCTTCTGTATTTGGGAATGTCAACAAATGTCAGTTTTATAAAAGAAATGACCAAATCAGGCGGTTATTTCTGTCTAGGACTAGACCTTCTCGACTAAAAGTAGATCTAATATCATTCAGTTTCAGCTATTCCTCGGCAATCACACACAAATTGCGTAACCTCCCCCTTCACTAACCCGTACGATATACTTCAGAGTTCAGTCTGCGTATAGAGGCGGTCAGTGGAGCCATGCAGTCATAGTCCCACCGGAAACATCAATTAAGTTCAAATATCAGAGACTTAACTTGGCCTTGAACTTGCTTTCACTAGTTTCAGTCGAGACTGAAACTCTGCCTTTAGGCTTCAGTCTTTACGGTTGTTTTACTGACACTACTTCTGGCTCCATTGACCGCCTATATTAGTCTATACAGAAACTGAAGTGTATGTGATGTACGGCGATGCAGTCAGTGGTCCATGATCTGAGCTGAAGCCTTGCCTTCAACTCAAGGTAGAACACAAATTTGAAAATGTGAATATCTTAGCGTAGCGTAGATCAACTACATTTGAAGAAATTTCCAGTTTTAGATCAGGACTTTTTAATTTTATGTTTATGTCGCAAGCTCAAAAGTGTCCGATCGCATTGTGCAGTCGTCCATACACTGTACATTGTATGTTTCTTACATGAACATGTTTCCCTCTTTTCTTTTTACCATGCAGATGGCTTTGTTAAGATGTGGGAGGTGGAAGGCTACAAGCTCTCTGTCTCTACTCATGAACACCAGGGTTGGGTCACTGATTTCCTCTACTGGTAAGGCAGCTGCATCATTAAGCTCGCTCACTCACAACAAGGCAAACTGTTCGGTATTTGGAGAGGGAGGGGGTGTTTTTTGTTTTGTTTCTTTATTGTTACTTCATTTTAGGTCGGGTTTTTGTTTTTTCAAAATGAATGCACTCATCATAAAAAAAAAATTATGTACTATGTCTACGTTAGTTTACCACATCGTAATGTGAATCTAAACCCTAATATTTTTCCCCAATGTTTTTATTTTATTTTAAGCCAGTTGCAAATATGGCTACAAGTACAAATGATGAAATTACAGTAAAAGGTAACTTGGAAGGCAGTAAACACATTTCGTTATCATTTTCTTCCTTCTTGTTCTGGATGGATTAGGACCTTTAATATATACAGTATGTCACATTCTAAAGAAAGATAAATCAGGACAAATCAATTTTTTACGCACTTACAAAAATTGCAAACCTTAGTAAGGGTATGAATGATTTAGTTGTTAAATGTGTGTGCTATTGTACACTTTACATGTCTTCTTGATATCATTGTAGGCATACACTAAGGCCATGTTTGTTTTGTTTGTTTTTTGTAATTTTACACTGCAATATGATTCTATATGGTGCTATTAAATCTCTTGTTGTATAGGCCTGAAGCCAAGGTGATGTTCTCGTCTTCCAACGACGGGACGATCATTGCTTGGTCAACAGCAGCAGCAGTACACGATCACATCTCAGTAAGTCATATACAGTCAAACCTGCTTTAGTGACCACCTGTATAGAAAGACCACCTGTCTATAAAGACCCCATTTTTTGTTTCCCATGAATATTGTTTCTAATTGAAACCTGTACTATAAAAGGAACCTGTACATAAAGACCATCTGCCTATAAAGATCACTTTTTTATGTTTCCCTCAAGTGGTCTTTAAAGAAAGGTTTCAATGTAGATCTTGACATGTCATAGGAACTATTTTATGATGAAACTCATCAATTTTGTTCATCTTTTTGACTCCATAAAAATTCTTACAACACTTTATTGCCATTGGTAGAGAGCCTGCATTGCCAATAGAGTGTATTATGTGTTTACATTGTACATATGGCAACAGATGACTGTGTGACTTCTGTTTCTTTCATTGGCGACCAAAGAGAGATAAAGAATTATAGAAGAAGTGTGAAACTCATCCTATAAGAAGCATGTAATGACATGCAGACATTCTTAATGCTCAACATATCCACCCAAGTGGTGCCCAAGGTGCAGTGCTTACACTAAAACATAACGAAACGTATTCATTAGAAAACAATTGTCGTTAAGTGTGTCTTCAGTTTTCTCTTAAAGTCATCTAGAGTCTTACAATCTCTCACTGATTTTGAGAGTCTGTTCCACAACTGGGGAGCTGCTGACAATGCAAACAATGCCACACAGGTTCAAATCAAATCATATCATATTTTGATGTTCATTGCAATGAAAGGAAATTACATATTTTCTTTACTTGAGATCGCATTGATTTTGCTGCTTCCTTCAACAGTTTGGTTCCCCTGTATACAGCATGGCCTTAAATGTGAGGAGGCATCAGCTTGTATGTGGCTTCAATGCTTGTATACGGGTCTTCAGCTTGGATGAAAGTAAGTCGTACAATATAATGAATTTATAAAAATCTTGCTAATCATAATCTAAACATGCATGTTATCTAGCTATTTTCTATATCTAGAATTTTGCAAGTATAACAGTTTTAAATATTACATCATGGGCAGTGGCAAATTCATAAGTATTTGTATATTCAACATTGAATACTTTTAGAGATGAATTTCAAATCTAAACTTACATGTTGAAGGTCTTGATCAATTTGACATCTCAACTCTCTCTCTCTCTATCTCTCTTTCTCTCCTTCTGCCTCACTTGTGCCCTATGTTTTCTAACTCTGAACCCCCCCCCCTCTCTCTCTTCCACTCCCATTCTCTCCTTGTCTCATGTGATATTTTTTCTCTCTGTTATGATCTTCTTTTTTTGTCTTGTCTGTCTTTCAATTTTATTTCTATCTCTTGTAATCTCTTTACATCTCTCTCTCTCTTTCTCTCTCTCTTTCCCTCTCTCTCTCTCTCTCTCTCTGTCTCACTTACACTATCTCTCTCACTCTGCAAACCCCTCCTCTATCTTCTTTTCCCCATTCTCTCCTTGTCTTATGCAATATTTCTTCTGTCTGTTATGTTTTTGGGGGGTTTTTTTCATCGGCTGTCTTTCATGATTTTATTATTAATTCTCATAATCTCTTTCCCTCTCTCTCCCTCTCTCTCCCTCTCTCTCTACATGTCATCGTCCGGTTTACATTGACACAGACCGAGAGAGTGGTCACCTGATAGATCTCAAGTATTCCTACAACTCAAAGGAGCACACAGACATTGTCAAGTGCATTGTGTGTCTGGAATCAAGAGTTTACTCTGCAGGGTAAGTGTATCAAAGCCATACTATACCAGGGGGTGTTTCACAAAGATCCTAAGTTGAACTTTAACTCTAAGTTGGACTTAAAAATTATGGAGAACATGCATTTGTGGCCTTAAAAAAATATTCTAAAGTGCAAATTCAAGTATTTTACAATTCATATTATTTCCACATCAAGAACATGAAATCTCCTTGATAATAAAAAATATGAATGATTTGAATCAACATTTTATGCGTTTTAAAGATACTATGTCCCTTTTGCAGCCAACCTCAAATTCTGTTGAAATTTGCAGGAATTATGAATATGTTATGTATGTCCTATCTGTGAAATTTAAAGGTTAGCAGTGTCCTTATTTTCAAATTATGCAAGGAAACCTGTTTACCTGCTAGACTTCACTGTCAGACACTATCGTCAGTATTGAGTGACTGACTGGCCTTTTCTTCTTCTTTGGTAATAATATACATAAAATGAACAAAAGGATTTGTCTACATCAATAACCCACTTCTTGTAGTGGCCAAAATTAAACTGATTGAATCTTTGCGCAGCATAAAACGTACGACCATGCGGTACAATGGTCTGAAAATCAAGACTATTACTTATTGGCTCTATAGCTCCTAAGTCGATTTGACAACTAATAGTCATTATTTTCCAAATTAAAAACATTTTCAAGCACCATTATTTTAAGGGGAGTTCTATATTAGTATTATCTTTCAAATGCCATTGGAATTTAACCTTTTCATTTTTTTGGCCTGCAAAAGGGACATAGTACCTTTAAAATAACTTTTACAAAATATTTTCAAGGCGTTCCATAATTGTTAAGTCCAACTTAGAGATAAGTTCAACTTAGTATCTTTGTGAAACACCCCCAGAAGCACTACCGCAAAATCACCTTTCAGCACATCTCAGGTCAGCTGTAGCAGTACGGTGCCATAACTTACCGATTTGTTAATGATAATTGTTGTTTAACTTATTTGCTGACAGCAAAACACCATGATTTCAATAGCTTCCATCATTTAATTAATATGTTAATATTGAATTAACGAAGGAGCTGACAATTTAGATGGGATCTTGGGGAAGTTTTGAATTTGAAGCTTTTTTTCAATTTAAACATGGGCACCCTAAACACAAGTTTAAAACAGGATTTGTGTGGATCTCTGTCCTTGGTAATAATTATGGTATACATGTATATCTCCTGACATTGGATTTACAAATATCATAATTTGAATCCCTTTTAAGGATAAGGAACATGAATAATCGTTGTTAAAATAGCAACTTCCACACCTGCCTCTACATTTTTATTTTCATGACAGGTTTGATCAAAAGCTGATTATCTATGACTCCTCTTCCTACCCTGGCAATAGAGGGCTCAATCCAGTGTTTTGGTAAGCATCAACTTTAACTCCTTACATGATGTTTCATGTGATTTTTCACTTTTAAAAAAAAAAATTTTTATCCATAAGACTTTACATTTATGTTATATCTACCTAAGGATTTAATTACACCTAATGTAGAACATTTAAATGTATGTACACTATGTCAGATATTTATGAAGACACTCCTTTCTAAAATGCCAATGAATAACCTTCAACAATTATCATTTTGAATACAAATTCTTTCGGCATGATCTAAAATGGGATAAATTATTGTAGTTTTCAGTGACAGTTGCATTGCTATGCTCCCTTTGTAAATTCCCCTTTCATTTTCCAAGTATGACTGGTGACCCCCGCCCCATTTTGGTGCCCTCTCAATAGTGAAACTACGACTACACCAATATTCAGTGATCCAACCCTGTATCTATAAAGATCAATTGTCTGTGTGCATTCTCAAGATGTTATGGCAAAAGATAAGATATCCTTGAATACTTTAATAAGAAAGGATTAATTGTATGTTGAGAGCCTGAATGGCGTTAACTCTGTGAAAGGCTAAATGCCCTTCTGGCTTTCAGCAGACATGATTAGATCCATATATTTTTTCTTAATGCACATCAACATGTATTGGTACTAAAATAATATGGTAAAAAGTAAATCAAAATGAACACAAACAAAAACTACTCTATCCCCTCCCCAAATCATTAATTATGTTATTTAGTTATGATGTATGCTTGAAATGCGCACCATTTAGAACTGTCATTTGCAAATTCAGTAATAATTTGTTAATGTGATGATGAAACTAATTTACTTTATGTGTTTTCATCCACAAGCTTAATGAACATTGCGAGTGTGGATATCCAGGTATATGATAAATTTGTGCGCATTTAAATTTGACATACATGTAGAATTAGATATAAATGTACTTGACAATTAGAGCTTTAATATACTTTGATATTACATTGTTTTTGTTACGACTTGTACTACAACGTAGCAAAATACACATAAAATTAGCAATGAATGTCTAGTGCATATGATTTAGACCATGAGCATATGGTGCTTTTGTTACTACTTATACTACAATGTAGCAATATAATTTGCAATTAACGTTTATTGCTTTTGATTTAGATTATGAGTTTATGTTGTTTTTGTAACTACTAGCTTGTACTAGAATGTATCAAAATTCATAAAAAATTCGCAAGGAATTTTTATTGCATTTCATTTATACTATGAATATATGATGTTGTTGTTTTCGTTTAATTTGTTCTTGTAGTAGGATATAGCCAAGATCAAAATTTATTTTTGTAGAATAGAAAAGTAGCGCAGCTTAATTATCCCAAAGACATTATGAAACTTGACTTTTTGTATTTTCTGTATAAACATTGATTATAAAGATGGTTGTTTTAAGGAGTTCAATTGCCAAAACTGTACCTTTTGGTGTGTTTCAGTTTGTAAATAAATGATGCCTGATAATTGATAATCATACAATATTTCATATGATATTGGGCTACGCACCAGAATGTTTAAAAATATTCACTTTAATTTTGCTTATTGTTTTGGTTCATAAATTAACTCCTATTACCCTGTATTGCTCATTTGGTTTTCTTCGCCTTTTTTTCTTTCTATTTCTGGCCTTACTGCAGCTACCATAGGTGTACTATATATTGGATGTTTATTTCATATCATGAATCGAGTTATCAAGTCCATATCACTTGTAAAATTACAATGGTATTTATCAGTATTTAGTACTTTCTTTTCTGTCTTTATCAATAATGTCCTGTGGCAAGGCAGTATTTGCCACTCCATACGCAGAAGATAAATGGGGACCTGGTAGGACGATTAAAGCATTTGTGATAGTAATTGCCAATTTGATGTAACTATCATGGTAGGGAATACTCCCCAGGGAGTGGAGATGGTGCACATTGTGTGCGTGTGTAATTATCTGGTAGTAATTATCTGTAAAGTGCTTAGTGATGGTATACAGTATTAAGTGTGTAAATCTAGATTTATTTTCATTATCAATACCATGCACCATCACTATAATTATGTTTTATGCACACTTTAGCAATCCCAAGGCCCATGAAGCAGGTATTTCATGCCTAGTGCTTATCAGAGACTCAGAAAACAACACATGGTAAGTTATAAGGTGATTTACAGAATGTCGGTAATAGTTCTTACAGATGATTAGATTCTTTCCTTTTTTTTATTTTATATTTTTTGTCATACATGCATGTAGATGTTACTTGTATTGATCATTACAGACCTACAATATGTAATAAAAAAGAAGACACTGTAGCTGTATCATACACTTACTGATCATTTGTGATTGTTCACATACATGCTTATGATACGGTCATTTAACAATTGACATGGTGGTCAAAATTTGGTCTCGAGACAGGAAGCTGACTCACAGACTGGACCGTTAGTGGCCCATGCTGAGTTCTAATGAAACAATTTTTTTTTTAAATCTCAGACACCAATTTACTTTTACTGTCCACAAACAGGCTTGTGACCAGGGGGGTGTTTCATGAAGCTGTTCTTAAATTTACCCATGACTTTACAAACGACTTGAAAATGAAGTGCCAGATAGGATTCAAAAACGTTTTCCTGATGTTTTAACAAAGTGTGAATATATTTCCAATAACCTCAATTAAATTATGGCAAAAAAATATACTTTGCGTTAAAAATGTTTGTTATAATAACAGTTCAACTTTAGTTGATGCAGTTAAAAAAGATTGAGCATCCCATTGTTTTGTAAAGTCATGCATATATAACTTTACGAACAGCTTTATGAAACACCCCTAGGTCATTTAACAAATGCTAATTTGCTTTTACTGTCCACAAACAGGCTTGTGACCGGGTCGTTTGACAAGGTCGTCAAGATCTGGTCCCAAGATGGCAAGCTAACCCACAGATTGGACGGCTTCCTAGGTACCATCAATGACCTGTGCTACGTACCGAAGAACAAGACTCTGTGGATCTCGTCAGGGACATCACCAGTAGCGGCTCTGTATGACCCCAAGTGTGGAGAAAATGTATGTATATCTTTCAGTCCTGTTGATTCATAATAATGATAATACAGTCAAACCTGTCTACAGCAACCACCCAAGGTAAACACAAAAATTAGTCTTTGTAAACAGGTGGTCTTTGTAGACAGGTTCCTATAGTACATGTTTCAATGAGAAACCATTTTCAAGGGAAACAAAAAATGTGCTTGTTGTGGACAGGTGATCTCTACCGTGTGAGTGAAAAAAAAGTTTACACCTAGAAAATTGCTAATTATTTTAAAACTCATCTATGGACAGTAAATTATTATACATCTTATTAAAGAGTGTTTTATCCCAAATCATTTGATATCATTTTTATGTGGTATGTGTTCACGCTTGGATGAACAGGAGGCATTGTTTGCGAGAGTGCAAAAATCAACTTGCGCCAAAGTGATGCCTACAGCATGTATTATGTTGGGATTAGTGGAGTGAGAGAATGAATTGAATGTATCAAATGAAATGCATTGCCTATGCTTTTTGCAGAAGCAAGGTCACACAGGCACAAATGTTTGTTGATATGTGTGGCATGATTAATTTTGTTAGGGATTTTATTTGGATCTGCAAAAAACTATTTAGTACCCAAATCCCAATTGTTTTATCTTAACATCACATAAAGCAACTTTGGCACAAGTCGGTTTTTGCACTCTCGCAAACAATGCCTCCAGTTCATCCAAGCGTGAACACATACCACACAAAAATAATACCAAACGATTTGGGATAAAATACTCTTCCATAAGATGTATAATAATTTACTGTTCATAGATGATTTTAAAAATAATTAGCAATTTTCTAGGTGTAAACTTTTTTTTGACTCACACTGTATAGCAGGTTTGACTGTAATAGGTCAATTATTATTACTATAGCTACTATATGAATATACTCTCCTGCGCTTCATACAAAGTATCATATTAATATCCCGGCTTTGGCTGAGCTGCCATAATAAGGTGCTAAAGCATTCAAGGAATTTCTTTCTACCGGGTACCCATTTACTTCACCCGGGTGGAGAGCGGCAAACGTAGATGAATGTCTTGCCAAAGGACATTAGTGTGACGGCGGATATCGAACCCTGAGATCCACAGTCAGGTGACGTATGCGCTAGACCACGACACTTCTACGAATAATGGATGATAGGCTAAGAGATCAAGGAGGGAGAAGATTGCAAGACAGAGCAAAGGAAAGTCAGGTTAAAGTTTAGATATGAAAAGGTCGTCTAATGGAATCTAGATCAAATTCAGTATTATTCAAGTTTTTTTAAATGTTTTTCTTCGATCTTACCAGGTTTCTGAGTTCATTGGTACATTCCAAGATGAAGAGAATGAGAAATATCATCTCCAGCACATGAAGTATATCCCAGAGCTAAACCAAGCTGTCGGTAAGTCTTTATAGAGTCTAGGCTGGTCCATAAGAGTGCTAATTAGCCCTTTAAAAGCGTGCTGCACTACTTGTTATGTTAATTGAGAGCTGATTTGATGAGATATAACCACCTGCCAGGTAACCATGCAGGGAGGTCTAATCCCTCCTGGCCAAACTAGGGCAGATGAGCTTTAACATTCGGCCAGTGGCCCTTATTTTTTTGTTTGGCTAAATAACATTTTCCTGCTTGGCTCAACACCTTATGATTCATAGCTCTACAAAATACACCAGGGCCCTGTTCCATAAAACTAATAAAAAGTTTGAATAATTGTTATAAGCTACTGAAATCATGGCATTTGATTGGCTGAAAGCAAATTCGTCCTAGAATTTTTAGCATTTGTTATTGATAACAAGTTTTATGAAACCGGGCCTAGATGCAAAAGCAGAAAAGGGAGAGCCCTTCAGTTTCAGAAATAGATTGTTTGTTTGTTTTGTTATCATTTGGTGTTTGATATATGCCATGAAATTGAAAGGAAATCAAGCCTGAACATCCCTATAAATAAGCAACAATATGAAAGTTAAAAAACACTGGGGTTGTGGGATGTTGTTTTTGTTGGTGTTTTGGGGGCAATTTTGAAATTTAATCAATGTTCTGTCTATCTATATTCTTTTCCGTCATATTCATTTTCTTTTATATTATGCCATAAAATTGAAAGGGAATCAAGCCTGAACATCCCTATAAACGAGCAACAATATGGCAGTTAAAAAACATTTGGGTTTTGGGATCTTCTTGTTAGTTTTGTTGTGGCAATTTGAAACATTTTAATCATGGGTTCCGTCTATCTAATTTCTTTTCCAATGCAATACTTTATGTTGCTAATATGTATCAATAAAATACCAGCCTCCTTTACACTTCTTATTTTGATAAATCCATCTTATTTTTCTTTCTTTTTCTTTCCTTTTTTTACTTGTAGCTAGCAGCAGCAGAAGACACATCTTGATGTGGAAGTACAACCCTCAGGGCTGCATCACAACTCTCAAGTGTAAACATGCCGTAGAATGTCTCACCTACAGTAAGTTGCAACAACGAGTGTATACAAGTGTATATACCGGTACTCATCCGCTTTCACAATACATTGTAGTTGGCAAGTGTGAACTTGCCTCGAAATGCCTTGCCTACATTTTGTTTAAAGATTCATCATTATTGACAAGTGTGAACATACATTACAATGCTTCACTGACAATATATATTGATCATCTTTATTCAGTCATACTTTGTTTTCACAATGTACATGAAAATCGCATTATATTACAACAAAGATGCGACACAAAATTCCATGTCGTCTGTGTGGTTATGAACATAACTGCTTAACCACTTGATTCATTAATAAATGAAAAATTAAGATACGATAAGATACAAGATAATCCCCAAGTGTGAATATGCCTGGAGAATCAATCATCTAAACTATCTTACAGTCAGATAAAATGTAACTCTTTGCTTGTTTACACTCTTTACAATGCCATAAACGAACCTCTGGACTTTAATGGTGAGGATTGTGGTTTGTGCGTGAAGTAAATTGGCAAAAATAAGCAAATGTCAACCACTGCACACCTTTGTAAATTTTCCCATGAAAGAATTACATCCTGTAGTGTTTCTCTGTGTTTCCCTTTTTCCTCTTCACTATCAGAGAGAAAGTTACTGCAGAACTCAATTTTTTGAGGTACATGCAGGACAACTTTCAGTACTTTTGACATGCAAAGTGGATCATTTTAAATGACAATCGTTTTTAAGAATTCAACTGGTAATCAATGTTTATAGTGATTTTCAAAATGATTCTTAGAATTTGTTGTTTCCTTTTTTTTTTTGTACAGCCAAAAAGGATCCAATTCTTTTCTTTGATGGTGGGAGTGATGGTCAAGCCAACAACTGGGAAAGATTACAAACTAATCACTTTATGTATAGGTAAGAAGATTATATCACTTTCTCTCTCTCTCTCGTCCTCTCATATGTGTGTCTCTCTCTCACTCTTTAAATGTCTGCCTCAGTCTTTCATGCTCTCATTCTTAACTTTTCACTTCCTCTCTTACACTCTGTTTATGGCTCTGTCTCTGTCTTTCCCTTTCTCTCTCTCTCTCTCTCTCTCTCTCCCTCTCCTTTCTCTTTTCCTACTAATACCTGTTTTTTTAAATAATTTTTGTATAGACATTGTCTTGTCTCTTTCCTTGGAGATTCCACATTAATCACTAGCTGGTACATGTACATGTACATGGATCAATGCGAAATTCCCAAAAATCTCTCGGAATTGGCATGTTGAATGGACATGACAGATTTTTCTTGCGTCTAATCAAATTTTAATAACTTAATTTTTTCACTTCAAATACAGTATTCAAACTAGGACAATTTTTGTTATCAAATCTAAATGCATGTAAATGACCTTGAGTGAAAAAACAATTGTATTGACCATGAAAATCAGTACATAAAGCCCAAGGCTGAAAGTGAAGGTCTGATAAGAGTCATGATGTCAGGATCAAATTTTTGACCATTAAATTCATGATAATCATCAGGAACTAAAAATTAAGAATGCATGTACAGTACTGCTTTTTAAAATGTGGAGATTTGACATCAAGTGAACTCAAACAGCTTGATGATGGTAAAATACTACACAAATTTAAAATAATATAATATGATTACTGTATATGTAATCTCTCTTCCTCTTTCCCTTCTCTATATCTTGTTAAAGTAAAGAGGATGTGTGTGTGTGTGATTATTATTGTTTTATTTGTAATTTGTTAATTTTTTTAAAGGGGCACCAGTTCACAAGATTTCATTCTTTTTTGGTTGCTCCTAACGATATTTTAACTTTATATATGATTATGTTTTGTATCTATTTTATATTGTATTGCACATTTACTGTTTTAATATCGTTGAATAAATGAATTGAATTGAAGTTGTGGATTAACTGAATGATCTTACTTTGACTTGCATGCATGCAGCCAGGAGACCTTCCTCCTCACAGAAGCCAAAACCAAGCTTGCCCAGCTGAAGAACGAGAAGCGTGAGGAACGTCGCCCTCTTGTGAGCGCGTTCGTACGCAGCCTTCACAATCCCTCGCCGGGCAGCTACTCCCAGAATAAGCCCAGCAGTCAATGTTCCGCTTCAACGTATAAACACAGCAACTCAGCACTACTCAAATCACTCTTTGTGGAGTCACTCGACTTACTACTGCTTGGGTCGGAAGATGGTAACATCTGTAAGTATTTTTCTTTCTTTGATGTATTTTCTGCTGTGAGTCAGAAGGGTGTTAAGCCCCACTGCACTATTTATAGCTATACTTGCGCCCTCTATATAGCAAACAATGCCTAATCGGTGCCTGTTGGTCCCCCATGATCCTCTTTTTCTTAAGTTAATTGAGAGCTTAGTTGATGAGATAGCCACCTGTCAGTGACCTTGCAGGGTGGTTTACTCCCTCCTGTACACTAGTATGGATGGGCTTTAAGAGAGGGCGCGATGGCTCAGTGGTAGAGCGGTGGTCTCTTAATCGAGAGGTCTTGGGTTCGAAATCAAGTCAATGCGGTCATGCCCTTTGGTAAGGTATTAATCCCTATTACCAACTCCCTCGGAGAGAACTTACAGCCGTTGATCCCCTGGTTGCGTACTTACAAGCATACACATGCTTTCTTAGCAGTCGGGTAAAACAATCCTCATCATCATCAAAGTTGTATCCTTGTTGATATAGAGCTCCAGCTAAATTATGGGGAGTTTGTACAACATTCATATTTTTTGTTGGCTGCCTCCCAGAAGGCCGGAAAAAAATTGTCAATTGCCACCTGTCAGTGACCGTGCAGGGAGGTCTAATCCCTCCTGGCCGAACTAGTGCGGTGGGACTTTAATTGAAGAAATTGGAAAGCATTCCAAGATTTGATTATTAAAGCGTAATACAAACAATAATTTATATGGCGCTTTGTGTGAAATACTTTGATTATTTTTATTAGTATAAATTCATTAAGTGCATGTGATTACTGTAAATTATAGGATTAGATGGTGTCTGAAACAAAATTGAATAATGTTTGAGTTAAAGTAGACCTAAGGACTTTAAAGAATCCTCATTACCATTGCATGTTTTTTTAATTTCCTAATTGTTGTACTCCTCAGACATCTGGGGTTTTGACGATGCAGCAGTCAACGCACTGCGAGACATGAAACCTTCGAGCAACGACGATCTCCTCAAGAAATACCGTATCCTCCTCGCAAACAACTCAACTGAATCAGGATCAGACAACTCATCAGAATTTGAGGAGACTATATCACTGGAAAACCCAGAGGTAAATGATTAATTATACAGTCAAACCTGTCTACAGCGACCGCCCAAGGGAAACAAAATATGTGGTTGTTGTAGACAGGTGGTCTTTGTAAACAGGTTCCTTTAGTACATGTTTCAATGAGAAACCATTTCAAGGGAAACAAAAAATTTGCTTGTTGTAGACAGGTGGTCTTTGTAGACAGGTTCCTTTAGTACATGTTTCAATGAGAAACCATTTTCAAGGGAAACAAAAAATGTGCTTGTTGTAGACAGGTGGTCACTAAAGCAGGTTTTACTGTATTTTATTTTATTAAGTAAAGATTTATTTGACACACACAATGGAGCTTCATTTCAAGAAGATCATTCTTAAGATCGTTCTGAATTATGCAATCATTGTACGTTGTGATATACATGTACCTGTAATTATAGTCCAGCTGTATAAATATCCAAGTCTGATCCACTTTCTTAACTTCAGGTAGTCCGCGACAAGTCATTTTTAATTTCTGACTACCCCTTCTGCAATTGCTTTTGTTTTTTTATATTCATGTACACATAAGCCTATTTTTATCATCCCATTTTTTCAATTTGTTTGTTTTTATTGTTAATTGTAAAATTTGATTCGCATTTGTAGAATAAAGTTGAAAGTTGAAGTTGGGTTCTTTAAGCGGGGTGTTATGTTATCCTGTGATTTCTATGGTTTTACTAAATAATTCACTGTCATATTTTGATTTCAGATTGATTCGGTAACGAACCGTGTAGCAGGCTTCGTGTGTAAGAACGTTCTGTCAGGCCACAGTAGCTGTGTAACAAGTATGTTTCTGGTAGGCAGGCAACACGGCTATGGGACTACATACTTGGTGAGACAGATTCTTTATAATTTAGGATACTCTTCGATCGTACATCATTTTGTTGTTATTTTTCTCCTCCTTCTCTCGCTCTCTCTCTCTCTCTCTCTCTCTCTCTCTTTCTCTCTCTCTCTCTCTCTCTCTCTCTCTATCTATCTCTCTATCTATATCTATCAATCTCATTTGCCTCTGCATGTGCATTCAAAATGTCCATGTTTAAGAGAGGGGTCTGACTTTTTTTCTTCAATTGTTTTCATATTTTTCTTAATGGGTTTTTTTATGTATATTTTCTTCTTTTTTGTTTTAAATTCCTTTAGGCTTTAGTTAATATTAAATTTGTGGGCATCTTCATGAATTTCAAAATACCTGTCATTTGTTATGAAAGTCAAAATGCATAATAAGAATTATACTTTATTGGTCTCCTTATATTTTTTCTTTGTTAATTAATAGGAAGAGTTTTTTTATAGGATCATGAATTGATATTATCGAATACAGCAAACTCTTCACAGAAAGTTTGAGAATTCATATGCAGTTATACTGGCAGTATGTTAATAGCCAAGTTGCTTGAAGAATTGACCTGATTTCTTATAAATTACACAATTAAAGTCCCAATGCACTACTTATAGCTACTTGTGCCCTCTATACAGCCAACAATGCCTAAGCGGTACCTGTCGACCCTCCCCCCCCCCCCCCCATATTGCCCTTTCTCTTATGTTAGTTGAGAGCTTATTTGATGAGATAACCACCTGCCAGAGACCTCGCAGGGAGATCTAATCCCTCCTGGCCAAACTAGTGCGGTGGGGGTTTAAAATACCAAGTTATAAACAGTATATGCATGTTCTCTTCATGTGCAGGTAAGCTCTGGCTGGGACAGAAGAATATGCATCTGGGACTTAGAGAGTGGAAGGTATGTTTAAAGACATTTTCTTGAGACTGTAACCAGCATGAACAGTTGTAATCACATTTTAGAATATTAGAATATCCATACCTGCGCATTACATTTCTGCATAACCTGAACGATGTTCATGCATTAAACCAAATAAAGTAAAGAGCCCCCCCCCCCCCCCCCAGGGGGGGGGGGGGGCCTGTGTTTCACAAAGCCTAAGATCGACTTTGAGTTGAACTTAACTATGGCAGGCCATTCATGCCCATGTTTGCTCTCACCTTTTACTGGCATTGGTCTCTCAAGAGACGTATGAATCATGGCACCAAATCTACAGAATTTATATTTGTTGATTACTCATTATTGAAGGAAACAATATTATCTAAAAATCCTAATGGTGAGAGCAAACAGTGGCATATTTAAGTCCAACTTAAAGTTGAGGGTTTCGCACAGTGATGCCTTCAAGGAAAACCATAAATATCTTTGAGGTTTGAGAATTTTTTTCAGGTTTTTTTGCATGTTAGAGGGTATGTACGGTAGAAGGAATATAATAAGTAACATTTCATACAAAAATTACACATTTTGTTCATCAACCTTCAACAATGTTACCAAGTCCCTTTAAGCACAATTCTGTTGTATTGTATCGCTTCTTTGACTTTCTTGTAGCTTGGTGGATAGATTCAGAAATGTCTCTGAGGATGGGATGAACATTGAGGAGCTGGCTTGTGATGGTATCGTCACTGACATGGACTACAGTCTCTCCAGGTTGGTACACACCTTCTGAAATGGAATCAAAACATAAGCACTAGCTGACGTAATAAGGAAATCAATTTAACTGGAGTAGTTACTATATGAATGTACAATATACCGGTACTGCATTTAATAACAGGCCTGATAATTACCTGATTTAAATTGATTTCCCAAATTTTTTCTCCTGATTTTCATGATTTTCCAGTTAAATAATAGGTGTATTTCCATGGAGGGGGGAGGGGGGGATGCCATTTTTTTCAAGACCTTTATTTTTTTATTTTTTTTCTCAAGAGAGGGGGGAGGGGGTTGGTTGATTTTGTTTGTTTAGTGCTCACTATCACCCCTGACTTAAGTGATAGTCTCCTTTTTGTGTAATGATGAGGGGAATGCTGTTCCAAAGCTTTGGAGCAACACAACTAAACGCCAGATATCTAAAAGTTTCTTTTGTTATAAGTATCGTCATCATCAGCGTCTTTATCAAGATCATCATGATTACAATGTAAAGCGCTTAGAAACATAGTATTAAGCGCCATGCAAACATGACTACTATTTCCTATATTATCATCATCATCATCATTATCATTATATCATAACATTTAGAGGGCGTACTTGGAAAGCAGTTTTGTTAAACTGAATGTACCTACCCCCTATTTTAAATAAAATTTGAATAAATAATAATAAATAAATAAACATGCTAAATAGTAAGAAGTTGGCCTCTCATTATGCTTCTAGGAATGAGTTTGCATGTGCTTCCGGAGACAAGATGGTCTACATCAGGCATTTCAGTCAGGTCGGATCTGAGATGACCTTGAGAAACACTCTACAAGGTCATGAGGGGGAGGTCACTCAGGTCACGTGGTGTGACTTTGACGACAACTGGATCACGTCATCAGAAGACGGCACCATCAGACTCTGGGTAGGTTAAGAAGCTGGTTTTCTCAAACTTGTTCACTGACGGTCCTGGGCCGGTATTCAAATCACTTCTTAAGTTTGAAATATAAGTATATTGCTTAGTTTTTGGAGTACTTTACCTTACATCTAAGACGGCTCCCTACCAGACTTAAGCAAATTATTTGGAGGCAATAATTGGCAGACTAAGGTTTTCTAACGCAGTATCACAACCTGCACACAATTATATTAGCACGCATTTATTGCGACACATTAATTGCGCATTACTTTTGATTGACCATGCGATGTAACAATGCTTATCAGTAAGTATTTAACTTAGATTTTGTCTAACGTAAGTAAGAGTCTAAAATGTGATTTGAATATGAGATAAGTAAAGTTCTTAGCTTAATAATTTACTTATTAAACTTCTTACTTATTCTAAGTATATAATCCAGACTTTGAGAAGCATCTTTTAAAGCCTAGCTACCCGTCGACTACTTAATTCATTTATTTTGTGTTAAGTGCTGTTTATATCCAGATTAATATTATTATTATTATAGTATAATCATGGCATTGAACCACTGAAAAAAATGGTCCCCCTCAAATTGTTTAATCATCATCATCATCATAACTTGCAGCCATTAATCTTTTGTTTTCTCATCATTTCCCTGCAACATGACTTTGATATTTCCATCCAATATTTCTTCTCACTTTTGTTATGTTCAGAGCGGCGATGGAATGACTTGTGAGCAGGTGATCAACACCCATGGCCCTGTCTCAGCTATCTGCCTGGATAGTGTATCAAAGTGCATCGTAGCAGGGGTGCATAATGTTATCAAGTAAGTTAAACTGGATGTTTCACATTATCATTCAAGTGAGTTACACTTGATGTATCACATTATTATTCAAGTAAGTTACACTTGATGTATCACTAAATGATTATAGTAAGCTCCACGTGATGTATCACATTATCATTCAAGTAAGTTACACTTGATGTATCACAAAATGATTATAGTAAGCTCCACGTGCTGTATCACGATGTATCACAAAATGATTATAGTAAGCTCCACGTGCTGTATCACATTACCATTCAAGTAAGTTACACTTGATGTATCACAAAATGATTATAGTAAGCTCCACGTGCTGTATCACATTACCATTCAAGTAAGTTACACTTGAGGTATCACAAAATGATTATAGTAAGCTCCACGTGCTGTATCACATTACCATTCAAGTAAGTTACACTTAGTAAGCTCCACGTGCTGTATCACATTATCATTTAAGTAAGTTGCACTTGATGTATCACAAAATGATTATAGTAAGCTCCACGTACTGTATCACATTATCATTCAAGTAAGTTGCACTTGATGTATCACAAAATGATTATAGTAAGCTCCACGTGCTGTATCACATTACCATTCAAGTAAGTTACACTTGATGTATCACAAAATGATTATATTAAGCTCCACGTGCTGTATCACATTATCATTCAAGTAAGTTACACTTGAGGTATCACAAAATGATTATAGTAAGCTCCACGTGCTGTATCACATTATCATTCAAGTAAGTTACACTTGATGTATCACAAAATGATTATAGTAAGCTCCATGTGCTGTATCACATTATCATTCAAGTAAGTTACACTTGATGTATCACAAAATGATTATAGTAAGCTCCACGTGCTGTATCACATTATTATTCAAGTAAGTTACACTTGATGTATCACAAAATGATTATAGTAAGCTCCACGTGCTGTATCACATTATCATTCAAGTAAGTTACACTTGATGTATCACAAAATGATTATAGTAAGCTCCATGTGCTGTATCACATTATCATTCAAGTAAGTTACACTTGATGTTTCACATTAATAGTCAAGTAAGTTACACTTGATGTTGCACAGCAGTGGAGAAAGCTAGGAGACGTAGTCACAAACAACTAAATGTAGCTCCAAAGTCAGTCTTGATTACAAACGTTCCATGACCTGTAATATCATGATCAATAAACTTTTCTTGAATAACCAGAAAAGGTTTATTTGACAATCAAAGTAAGTATCAACAATAATAAAGTGAATAATATTCAAAATATAACTAGTCATAATAAACCATTCTTCTATCATCTTCTTTTGTTTGAGGCTGCAGAAGATCAAGTCAGATCCATTCAGCCTGTCCTCAGGGTGATTGTCTAAGGGGCTCTGCTTTATATCCTATTTTCTTGTACATTTTCTGTAACTATACCTTCTATCCTTCTTTTTGAGGAAAATATAGTGACAGGAAACTAATATGATGAGCTCTATATTCTTCTCTTTTTTCAAAAACGTCTGTGTGAAATACTCTGTACTCTAATGTTGCCATTATAAATTTATATTTGTTGCCCTGGCAAATTGGCAGGTACACAGAGATGCCAACTAGTACGGATTTCCCGTAATTGGTACGGAAATTAACGACCATTACGGCAGTACGGAATGTTGTCTAAAAATTACGTTTTTTTTTTTTTTTTTTTTTTTGCGCATAGGGATCTATCGTAGCAAGTGCTGTACAGTATGGTGGCCATCCAGCACTCGCTGCATGAGAAAGATGGAAAATTATCAAGTATTCTCTTAATAGAAGCCAATTTTTCATTGAAAACTTATGTGTTGTGATGAACTGAAAATCAATATTTAGCAACTTTGTGGGAGTAAAATCACAACAAATTTCAGATAATCATGCGCGCATGCATTCGCTTGCCATTCTTTTAAGATTCATGGCGCCGCATAGGAAATTACTGATTTATTCCCCAAATTACTGATTTTGAGCCTTATGGTTACTGATTTGTGCTCTGAAAGGTTGGCATCCCTGGGTACATGTATGTATTCCAGTAATGAGCAATCATGAAAGACTTGACAAGTAAAGATATTCCACGTAATGTCAGACTGTTAACCAATTCAAAACTTGTCTTAAGACACATTTATTCAACATTTCTTTTGATGATTAACTTACTCTGTTCACATTGATGTATATTTCATATGTATTTTATATATTGTATATTTATTGTATATTTGCATTGTCTTTTTGTTTTGTTTAATATGTAATTGTGTATTATTGTATTTTGTTTGTTATAGCGCTTAGAGACGTGACTTCGGTGGTAAGCGCTTTTTATTATTATTACTTTTTTTGTTTTGAAGGGTTTATAATCCAAGCAAGAACAAGCTCCTTCAGACCAACTTTGGGCACACAGACTCAATCCGTTCCATCATCCATGTACATGAGAGAAACCAGGTAAGACAGGCCATTGCTTTAATACACAGCACAAGGGCACACTGAAACGGATGCATGGCTAGCATTTTCAAGAAACAAGTCTCTTAAAGCCTGTCTGCAATAGTTTGGCCAGGAGGGATTAGACCTCCCAGCATGGTCACTGGCAGGTGGTTATCTCAACAAATCAGCTCTCATTTAACATAGAAAAAAGGGATCATGGAGGACCAATGAGTACCGCTTTATAGGCATTGTTTGCTATGTAGAGGGTGTAAGTAGCTACAAGTAGTGCAGTCCCGCTTTAAAGTTTTGACCTTTCAGAGTCTGCAATCGTAATCCTACTCCAGCATCTAATCTCTATATGTTATTCTTTTCCTTTTACTTACACAGTACATATCGGGATCCTGGGACGGAACACTGAGAGTATGGAATGCATACCGGGTAGCTACCCGGAAAAAGAAGGCTGCCCGTATGGAGGAGAAGAGGGAAAGCATCTCAAGCTTCAAGAACAAGAATCAGCCAAACTATCTGATAGAAGATGAACAGGAAGTGTAGCATCTTTCATCTGCATTAGATCGATACTGATAGAAGGAAAGACTCTAAAGACAATGAGAAGGAAAAAAGTGAGAGCATGGGAGACAAAAACAATGTTTAAAAAAGAGATGAACATGTAAACATTGTAAAGGAGAAGAAATCATCTCTTTTGAGCTATAAGGGCATAAAGCCCGTCTGCACTAGTTTGACCAGGGGGATTAGACCTCCCTACAAGGCCATTGACGGGTGGTTATCTCATCAAATCAGCTCTCAATTAACATTATGTATTGTTTGCCCTATAGAGGGCGCAAGTAGCTATAAGTAGTATAGTGGGGCTTTAAAAGAGATGAACATGTACTAGTTGTAAAGGAGAAGAAATCATCTCTTTGGAGCTATAAGGGCGTTAAATCTTATTCTTCAACAAAGTTAACTCCTTTGTTTCTCCAAACAGATGAGATATGAAAGGGAGAGGCCAACAGAGATCAATGTAATAGCAACTGTTTTTCAATTTAGAGATTATAAGTTCAAGTTTAGGAAGGGACAGAAAGATATGCTAATTTGATGAATAAAGAAAAACAAAATGTAATAAGAGAAAGAAAAGTTGTACAAGTAAATTAGTTCATTATGCATTATAAAGAAACCAGATATGGTTTTGTGATATGCCTGTTTTGAAAATAAAAGAATGACAGTTCATAACCTACTTTATATTGACTTACTGGAATAAAAAAAAAAAGATGTGTATTTAAAATTACACGAATATCATACAATTACAACAGAGATTATTTGACATTCTAGCTTATTGGAATAAGAATGAACTATTTTTCCAGTTGCATGTGGAGGTGTCATGGTATAGTGGTTCCTTTACTTGCCTCTTAATCTGAGGGTTGAGGGTTCGACTCCTGACTCGGCCTTTACAATTACATTAATCAACATTAGGATGTGAAAGCCATTGTAGTTTGCTCAGCAGTGTATTAAAGCTTCTGTAACATGGTGCCTGGCTGAAATGCTCCCCAGGAAGTGGAAAATGTGCATACATTGTGTGCGGGCAAGCCCAAATCCAACGACCGGAATGGTAATATTTCTGTAAAGCGCTTAGAGATATTGTTGATTTATTAAGCGCTATAAAAATACAAATATTATTGCATCAATTTTAAAGTTGAGTAGTTTGCATCTGAGAGTATTTTCCTTCAAGAGTAATCAAGAATATAATGAATGCAAATTAGAATGGACGGAGAGGTTATTATCCTTTTTCAGGGCTGTATTTTTAACTAAATCTTTTCAAGTACTGTAAGTAAGGTTGTCAGGGTAACACGTTATCATTCTTCAGTCAAAGGAGTAGGTGCTCTGAAGATTGTTAGTGAGCACCGCTAAGAGCTCTTGGTTCCAAGACATTTCGATGAGAATGCTCTGATAATCTTCAGGAGAATGAAGTACTTAGTATTGCTTTATGTATAACACAGGAATGCCAGTTTTCAGACCAAAGTATAGGCTTTTTTGTGTCCAAAATAGCTCATTCTATGTGGTTTTTAGGACTTATGATCAATTCTAACTGGCATTTCTGATAACAGTGTATGTACGTTTATGTCAAACTTTGATCAGTATTATGGCTTGTGTTATGAACTGGTAGTACATTGTAACCTTGTTATAACAAATTTCTTGTCACCAGGAAATTACCTTGTTATCTTTAAAGCCTTGTAATAATCAGACTAATATTCTGTTCTTGTAAAGCGCATAACACATTATGATATAATGTCTCTGTGCTTCCTAAAGACTTTGGATATTATTACCCTGGTTTTAGCTCTGGCAACCGCCGCGTTCAATGCATTAGTGTAATTCCTACCATGCAGGTACTCAATTACTAAACCTGGGTGCAGTGTGGCAAATGTAGAATAAAATCTTCCCAAAGGCTTTAGTGCTGTAGCAGGGATTTGAACCCTGTATCTTGTGGTTCAGAGTCCAGAGATTTATCCACTGAACTACAACATCTCTGAGTTTGAAAAATTGAAATGAACAGGAGTGGGACCAGCAAATTCCCTTATTTCAACAAGAGTTCTTTGGAACAGTTTTCTTTATGACAAGATTCAACTGCACCACAGTTAATTTCTACGTTGTTAAGTGCCTTTCATTACTTGAATAATATTTCTTACTTATATCAGGGAGATCTCCCTGCTTATATATCTATATTGCTTGGAGCTATCAGGGAACTTTTATATTATTATTTGTTGGTAATCACTGTGAAATGACGCACACATTCATATAGGACTTTTTTTTTAATTAACGAAATGTCTACTCAAGTGAAATGCCTTGATGTACAGTGACATGTTTCTTACTAATTCAACTCTTTAAATGCCACACAAATAATATGGATGTACTGTACCAAAGGCTTCAATATTATATGTAACTGTTCCCAGTGCAAGGTTTATCTATACCAGTGTTAAAAGGGTTGTCATGGAGCTTATCAAATGGGTAATTTTGCAGAACTACAATGCTGCACAAATAAATGATCAGTTCCTTTAGAACTTGTATTATATCTATTCCAGAAGAACAACTCTTTCTTAATGTATATATGTGTAAATGTAAAGATAAAACCTATAACCAAAGTATTTTTTTGTGGACAAAGTCATTATCTCATCGCTCAACTCTAACTAACATAGAATATAATATTGTTTGTGTTAATGTGATATTAATGTGGGTGGTGGCTTTATTTCTAATCTTTAATGTGTGAAACAACTGCTTGATCAAATATGTTTGTTATGTATGTTAAAAATGCGTTTTATTTTTGTTAGATGTGAAGTATTCATTGTATTCTAAGAAATGAACCTTGTTAAATTGTTAATAGTTTTGTATACAATATATTTATGAATATCTATATTTTGCATTGTTGTAAATAAAATATTGACACCATAACAATATTACGAGTCATTGAATGTGACCCGTAACATCAAATGGAACAGAAGTTGCACTTTTAAAATTCATTTTGTTGATGAGTTCTTACGCTTTTGGCGTTAGCAAAGTAAGTTGTTTCACGGCACGGAAAAGCACTGAAGAGAGTGACGAAGTCAGCATATTAATACTCTATTGCACTTATATGATAAACTCCTCTAATACATAGAACTGATTCATTAGAAGGCTTCTGCAAACAAGTGGCTCTTTAATAAAGTTTTGAAGGCAGTAACAGTTTATTCTTTTCTAATGAGAGCTAGGAACGCTGTTCCAAAGCTTTGGAAAATGAGCCAGTCATAACAAAGTTCTGTTTTTTTTAAATTAATGCTTGCATTTCCATAATTTCATTAAATGAATTCGTTTTCACTGGTTACCTGCCGTAGCAACAGCGTTGACAAAAGACTTAACTCTGTTGATGATCATCAAAGAAGATGAAAGACTCTATGCATGGCTGAATGTCAACGAAACGGAGTTAAGTCTTTTTTCAACTATGTTTGTTGCTACGGCAGGCAGCCAGGGAAAACGATTTAGTTTAATAAAATTATTGAAATGCAAGCGTTACTTTAAACAAACAGAACTTTGTTATTCCAGGCTCATTTGTCCTGATTGAGGTGATATCAAAGGGCAGAAATGAACTTACTAGAAATGTGATTTTCTCTTTGAAATTCAGATACCGTCCGCCAAATGACTTTTTGGTACCCTTTCTTCATATTGTTGTTAATCACTCATACGTGAAATATGTATCTTATGAGTTGGATCAAATGAAAGAGGAGGATCTAGGATTTATAAGTGTGTGTCAATTATTGAATTTAGTTGTGATTAAGTTATGATAAAACATCGATAGTTCTCGGTTTCGTTTTTTCTGGGACGCACTGTACAATCAGAGTTGAGATTGTATAAGTCACATGATGCGTTATTATCCTCCACTGACATCAGTCGGAGATATACTACGCGCGGTCAGTTGACCGGAGCATGCTGAGGATCGGAATGACGCGACGCAGATTGGTGATCTGTGGGCGTGGCTCATTATTCATTTATCGGGAGAAGAATGAGTTGACTCGGTCCGGTGATCGGAGGATTGGACGAATCACAAAAAGTTTTGGAAGTAGCCTATGGGTCATCAAAATACCTGTGGACATCAATAGCGGGGCACAATCGGCTGTATTCCATACAACACAGGCTCATTAAGCGGACTTATGTTTCATTATTATAAGCACCTTAATTGTCATTCAGCTTATCTCTTAGTTTCTGGAGGTCGTCTTTGTTTGCGAGAACGACTTTTTTGTCGTCTATTTTCAGTTTAATTGGCAATGATGCGTCCATCTTGTGTCCAGACCACTTTTACATGATCTTTAAAGTTATTTTTTACTTTCCAAATAACTCACTTCCCTTGAAGTTCTTATAATTGGCAGTGATACTTTTGTGAATGAACACGAGAGTTCCTTAAGTTGCAGAGAATTGTTCGGGCACGGTATACTTTATTACGGCAGTGGTAGTTGGCAATTTTGGCAAAAATACCTCTAGGCTTGCGATCTTTCAAATTGCCAAGTCTATGACTTCCGTCTAGGTCCCTACATTCAATGTCAATTTAAAATTTCTCTAAATTTTATGAAAATGGCAACATGGCTGTTGGCCAAATCATCTTATTTCTTTGCCAACTTTTCTTATTCTTTGGCTACTTTTCTTTTTCTTTCTTTTACAACAATAATGTCATTTTATTGTGACTGGAAAGGAATTCAAAAGTGGCAACATGACTTTCTCATAGTCAACATTAACTGGCAACACGTCTACAGTCAGCGCATCTGCCCACTGCTGCCGTTGTCGGTCGAGTAGGTTAGTCTACATACATGACTCTCGACAGAAGAATTTCCTCAAAATCAAAAAGTTTTCCCCGACGTCGGCATGCGACGTCCCGATGAGTAACCTAGGCCGGCCGGCGATGGGGGCGTGTTTTGACGCTTGCGACGGCCTATGTGACCGACCGTCCGGACAATTGGTTCGTATATATAGCGTCGAGTCACAAAAGGAAATCATTCAACGTTTGCATAAGCTACAAGTGTACTACAACCTCTAATAGTGCTCAACTCTCTACGACATCGAAATACTCATCTTGGATATTGCGTGTGCTTTATTGAAAGTTTAATATTTGTGAGCATATATATCCCCAAGGACTAACTGAGTCTCAGGTCATAGAATTCTCAGGCTTATCTGTGTTGCCCGTTGAGTCAAGCGATAGAGGACTAACACTAGACTTGCACTTGTGATCCATGGATACAGTGCTAGCAGCAAGGTATGTACTTCTTTTATATCTACGGATATTAGAAAGTAAATTTGGTTAAAATACTGAACTGAACAACTTTTCCATTTTGTTGTATATAGCAAATCTATGCTATGCAAAGTATTTCGTTACAGTAAATTATCTATCAATCGTTCGAAATCGCGCAGTCTGTAACCGCAGCTCTGGGACGCCACTGGCTCTGGTGAGGTACGTGTTTGTAAACCGCCAGTTGTGAATTGGTCCGAAAAGAGATCGTTCTTTGCGATTTATTCAAAAAAAAAGTGTCTAAAAAGGTCCCGACAGTCAGGCTAGTCAAGCATTTAAGACAAGAATATAAAGAATCTTTACTATGACCCTCTTTAAATGACACTTTCTAAAACGTGGCATGACGAGACTACATGTCTTTCCCGTGAACTGACTCGGGGCCATTTGGGTATAACTACGGACGAAGCGACCGCAGCAATCACGTGCGTGCAACGCGAAACCGAAGCGTGAGGATAGAGAACTTCGGTCTGTTTCGCAAACGCGGTGTGGCGGTGACCACGTCGTAGAGATTAAGCCGCTGACTTAGTCCATTCTCTTAGATGCAGTTGATCCAAAAGAATACGTAGATGGCGTTAACCAGTATATGAGAAGCTAAACTCCCTTTAAGTTGGTTTTAAATAAAATCCAATTTCAAAAAGATTTATGAATTTTTAAAGTTCAAATCAGATCAGTCAAACACACTACTTGCGAGGTCCCTCCAATTTGCTCTATACTTTTAAAAAAATCATAAATTTCAAATTTACCCAAAAATTGTTGTCAACCGTACAATATGAATTAGTATTTTGGGTTATGTTTGATTTTTTTTTATAATTATTTTATATTTCAGTGTGGTTCGACAGTGTCCTGACTGCGAGAAGTCCTACACGCATCGCAGCAGTCTCGGCAAACATCGCGCTCAGAAACATCCAGCATCAAATGATGGGGCTGTGCACTGTCGTACGGATGGCTGCTCATACAGATGTCACAGCAGAAGAACTACGTCATCATCTTGCAACGGTCCACAACTTCCAAATGACAGAGCGTCAATTGGAGTTTGATTCTCATGCAGGTAAATATCTTTTTACTATTTTCAGTAGGTTCATGCCATATATTTATCTATCTTAATATCTTCTCCCGGTTCGGAGGTTGATTGCAACATCTCTCCATTTCACTCTATCTTCTGCCATTCTGGTGCACTCTTGCAGTGTTAGTCCACTCCAGTTCTTGACACCTCGGTCTACTTCCTTCCACTCTTCCTTTATATTACAATACTTCCAATACATCCTTTAAGAGGATTGGGTTGAATTGAATTGATATCTTTATTTATACACGGTTAAAAAAGCCCAAACAGTTACAAGACTGATTTCCATTGGGGCCGTGTGAAACAATGTAAATACATCGAAATAACATAAAAATTATAATGGTACATCAAATGACATATTTAAAACAAACAATAAATAATCAAGATAAATATCTAAAAATATAACTATAAAATAGTACTGCCGAAAAAGTATATTTATATGATTAACAATAATCATGAGTGTCCAAACAAGAGTACTGTAAATATACTTCAAATTAAAATAGGTAATACATATTGTTACTAGTGCATATAAACTGCCATATGCCTTTATATATTCCACAAATTACTAACAAAAACAGAAAAGGGGTTGAATTTAGAGCTCCACAAAGCTGTCTAGAAAGGATGCTTATTGGCAAATTACTGTCAGTGAATAAATAGGAAAATTGTGTGGTTTTGTTTGCTGACCCTACAAACTTCATTATAAGCATCCTTAACATTTTGTACTTAAATACAATGTTGTACGAAAACTATAGTAGTCTATTTAAGCACTCGGACTTTTGATAACGGTGACAAAAGGAGGATTAAAACTATAGAAAGTTCTGTAAAGTGATAGTCAGATCTTCCTAATAGGTGGCACACTCATTACGCACATCCTTTTCTTTATTTCTTCAATGAATCAATGTTCATGTAATAGCTCACTCTATTTTAAATGGTTATGTAATATAAAAATCTATAAAACATTATACACTAAAAAGTATTTAAATGGTTATTACTAAACGCCTATACATGCTTATTTATATAACGTCTCTAAATGGTTATTTAATAGGGTTATGGAATAGAAAGTATATACACGGTTATCAAACAATAATATTTGTACATGTATACAGGGTTATAAACTTCCATACACTGTTTTCTTTTAGTATATCAACTTGGCTTCAATGATCGAATGTATATATTTCATTGTAAAACGAAAATGATTGTGTAGAATACTTTATGGATAAAAGTTCTTATGTTTGTATTGTGAATTGTTTGTTCAATGTACATATACCCTGCCCACCGTAATCGAATTGCCTGAGTAACCTGTTTTTCTTTTCTCCAGGTTTTCTTCAGTGGAAGCAGCAGTACCAGAGGGACACTCAGTCATCATATGGAGCACATCGAGGGGCCACGAGTAGTGTCCGAGGAGTGAAGAACCAGATTTATTTCTGCAGTCGTGATGGTTTTTTCAGGCCTAGAGGGAAAGGCAGTAGGTCTCTGAAATCACAAGGGTCTTGCAAAATTGACGCCCATTGTACTGCGAGTATCACAGCATATTTCCAAGTTGATGGGACCGTTAGTGTAACTGTGGTTGATGAGCATTACGGTCATGAGAAGGATCTGGCTCATGTTAGATTGTCAGCAGAGGAGAGGGTTGATGTGGCCCAGAAGTTAGCACTGGGTGTCAGTTTTGATAGGATTTTGGATGATATTCGTGAGTCTTTGAGTACTCCTTTGGAGCGCCAACGTCTCATCACCAGACAGGACATCCGGAACATTGAGAGGTCTCTTGGTTTGCAGGATATTCGAAGACCCTAACCAAACAATGATCTGTAAAGCTTACTTCCCCTATTAATGATTTATTACGTTTTTTGATAACATTCATTTTTCACATCCCTCACTTTCGTGTGTTTCATAATTATTCATCTATATTTATTTTTTAATTTACATCTATAATCATATTTTTCATATTTTCCATAGAATTGTGAAGAAGGAAAAAACCTCTCATAAGGAAATTATTTTCGATGCATATTATTAAAAGAAATAAACCATTATTAGTATAGTACTTTAACTCTCGATTAAAACTAAATAGCCTCGCGGTGCTAGTCTGCTTTAAGTGCTCAGCTGGCCTGTCCCAATATGTACATGTAATATGCCTAAAAGGTGGAATAATTTTTCTGACCTTTTGTGTAGAGATTCATCAATAAAGGGCTGGTAAGATATAAACTTTATCTCTCAAGAATAAACCATATTCTCACAATCATTTCACGAAAAGATGTAGGGAAATTGCAATTCCAACTTTATGGTGTGTATATGTGCGTGTGGGCGCGTGTGCGATATATTTACAATAACTATGCTAAGATTATGTCAATAACTTGTCGATGGTAAGATGTAACGGTATGGCTCTACTATACATTATGAATGTTCTCTACGCAGTACGTTCCATATGAAGTAATCATTTCTTTTTTTTATTTGTACATTCTCTTTATACAGTTTCGATATACTGTGTTTCTCTATGCAACGTATTAAAGTACATGTTTATAGCTTCTTCCAATATTTGTATATATTCTCTATCTTTCATTTACATTGCAAACCTTTATGTGTAAGCTTACTGTTGCAATTGCTAAAAGGGGGTCACCCTTTTGTTGTTTATAAACCTAATAACATTTGGTAGAGAAAAAAATAATATTTATTTGGTATCGCTCCTTTTGTTCATAATATATCAATGTGAAGTACTTCTATAAAACTGTTCATTTACTTTTGTTACTGATGATTTGTCAAAAGATCATGACATAATATTCATGACTAGGCTCATTAAAGTCTAACTCTCTAATAATTTATCAATGTTAATGCAATCAGTGAATATTGCTGATGCCAAAAGCAGTTAAGGCAAATGTACTAGAGGAAAATAAATGTGAAAAATGCAGATTATTCAGTTTCAGTGTCATTTGTCTATTTTCGAACGTTACTGTCTGTACTTGTGTGATTTTTTTTTATCAAAGACCATAACAAATACGCACAAAGTGATGTTACTGATATTTGACTTCGTGATAAAAGTTAATAAAGATATAAGACAAAAAAATGTTGTACCGTACATTTTCATAACCGTAATTGAGGCATATTGAAAGCTATCTCTGGGAGCCTATATTTAAAAAAAAACACGAAAATGAATAATACCTTGTGCAGTGGCGTACGTAGGATTTTTTCAAGGGGGGGGGGGGGTTTAAAATCGGGTCCAAAATTTCGCAACGACTCAGGAAAATTTGAAAATCGCGCCGGCCAAAAAGTCGCTCAGTGGGGGGGGGGGGGGGGGGGGGGGGGGAAGAGGACACTTTTTTTTTTTTTGGTCTCAAAATTTGAAAATTGTGAAATTTGAAATTTTGCTCCGTTGGGGGGGGGGGGTAAGGTCACCTTTCTTAGGTCAGCCATGGGGGTAATTTTTTTTTTTTTTTTTTTAAATAATTAAAAAAAAAAAAAAATCCAAAGGGGGGGGGGTTAGGGATTTTTTAGGGGGGTTTACACACATAAAAATACCAAAGGGGGGGGTTAACACCCCCTGCGTACGCGCCTGACCTTGTGTGATAATATCTAGTTATAATATATATCAATAACTAGGTATTGCACGGGTAAAACTTCTCAACTACCCCTGTCTCGGCTCTCACGTTACACTATAAACTAACAGGATTTCTGAAACGCGGGCAAATAAATTCATATATTAGAAGCGAAAAGGTAGAAAGTATATTTTTGGTTCACCATTTGTTGGATGGAACACTCTTGTCAGCATGATTGCTGTTTTTCATTGGGGTCCATATAGAGGAGGAGGCGCAGAGAGAGAGAGAGAGAATGATCGAGAGATAAAGGATATGGATGTAAAACACTTGTTCTAATTTTTGTTTTAAGTTTGGTCCTCGTTTTCCCTCGTTCGAATTTAATATCCTTCAAACAAATGCTTCAAACGAGTCATTCACATTTAAACTGGGAGCATACAATTTAATAATTGGGCATTCAAAATCCGAAGCTGATGGCCTCGGCTGTTCTTCCGTCATTTAACTTCATGAAAGAGCAAGCACGTATCACAAAGGTTGTATGCAAATGAGCGAGTTGGTGATGATGTCATCCCCTCACTTTTCTATATCCGCTTTGTACTTAAATTTAACAAAAAATATCACCTTTTTGCTCTAAAGTGTAAAATATGGCTTGAACCCTCATGAAATATGTGCAGAATCACCAATGCTGTAAACTGTTTTAATATAAAAGACAATTTGTATACAGGTCTGTAAACAAACATAAAAGATAAAATCTTTAAATAGTGAGGGTATGACCGGGAAGATATCACATATTACATAATTAAATCGCTAATTTGTGTATACAGCTTTTGTTATACATATTGCTGTTTCATGAGATTACGTGAAACATTGAAATTTGATAATTAAACTCTTTTTTTTCGATTAAAATTTCACCTTTTAGTTTATTTTCATTTTTTCTATATGCATTAAATTCATCCTTCAAATTGGTCTGACCTGACCTTTAATTACGTTTTTTTGTTGGTAAAATTATAATGACGGATCAACCCAAAACAGACACTTGTCCTATTGTTGGGGGTGTATTTTTCCGCCGCTAAATTTTGCATACATTCCAAGTTTCTGATCTCCAGCGCTCAACTATGATGAGGAAAGTACGCACCCACACTCATTCATATAATTTATACACATCCCGCATGCGCACCCATACACACCCTACTCTAGTCCAGAATCTGACAGGTTCTTTATTACAGGAGTCTATATTCCCTACAGTTGAATCAAGCAGCCGAAGATGGCGTTATCAACGAACTTATAAGCCCACCAGCGTCCTAATTTAAAGTCCCACTGTACTACCTCTATATTGAAAACAATGCCTAATCGGTGACCATTGGTCCCCCATGATCCTCTTTTTCTTATATTAATTGAGAGCTGAGTTGATGAGATAGCCACCTGTCAGTGACCTTCCTGGGTGGTATGATCCCTCTTGGCCAAACTAGTACAGATGGGTTTAAGGATCATGCCATCTTCAGGCTGGCAGTGAGTAAGTAGGGGGAGGTCGCATTGCACTAGTGTGGTGGAGATCAAAATTAAATTGGCCAGATTCTGGACTAACCCCACATAATTTTGAAATTTATTTGTTGACACAAACAAGCAACCATACCAGCCATATCTTTTTTTTTTCCATATTTTTTTATTAGAGATTTCATTCAAAATATATAATTACATAAAGAATCAATGTAAAAAATTCCATTCAAATACAAAACTTAATTTCGTTTTCTTAACACAAATAAATTATTCACAAAACAGTGAGCAAGAAGGAGAATAATAGAATTAAATCACTAAATTATACATATACACGCGCACACACACTCTCTCACTCTCTCTCTCTCTCTCTCTCTCTCTGTTTCCTTTCCTCTCCTCCCCTTCTATCTTGCTCTCCCACTCTCCTTCCCTATATGCTAGACATGATAGTCTAGAGCTAATGATAGAATGATAGATGGGTTTCATATTTATCGCTTTTACAATAATAATGATTCATACGCAGATCCTGAGAACTTAAAACAGTGGCGGATCAAGGGGGGCACAGGGGGCACGTGCCCCCCCCCCCCCCCCGGCCCAAAGGGAAGACATTCTTGGATCCGCCCCTGTAAAATGTCATAAACATCATACGTACCTCATTATATCAAAGTTTGAGAAGATATATCATCTCTAGTTTCTATGTTGTGTCAATTAATGGGCGTGGCTTTCACAAGACAAACGAGTCGAAATCAGGTGTGAGCCAATCATTTCATCATTACTAGCGACGTTAATGGCATTTCATTTGGTTACAATTGTTTGTAGTCATTCGATCGGCTCATTCAGCGCTGTCAGTGTTCTTCCGATAGTATATCACTGTACCTCAAGACTGCTGCCGGGTGCATCGTCAAAGATCGGGCAACAACTACACCGTGACATAGAAAATGATATTTCATATTGATTAGTATCATTGTCAATGGATGTGAAGCAATACGATTTGCTGAAACTCATTGGTACCTAGGAACTATCAAAGGAGATCGAGGGGCATTTACACTGTCTTCCAAACACGCCAAAAAATGCCAAACCGGAGCCTGGCCGCGATGTTACCAAGGGCAACTACGCTTTACCGGCAGAAACGCCAAGGCCCAAACATTCCAAAACGAAGTGTGATCTTTTGGCGTGTTTTGGCGTGTTTTGGCGTGTTTGGCAAGTATAAACGCTCGCAGTTTTAACATCGCGATGTTAGGTAAAGTGACTTGAGGAGCGGGGCTAGATGTCGTCCTTTTGAAGACAATGATAGAACGATTAATACAAAGAATAACATAAGAGAAGGTGACATAAGGAAGAATCTAAGAATAACATAAGGATAGACAGAAAGAGAAAGAGATAGAAGGAAGAAACAAAGAATAACATAAGGAAAGACAGGAAGAGAAAGTGATAGAAGGAAGAAACAAAAAATAACATAAGGAAAGACAGAAAGAGAAAGTGATAGAAGGAAGAAATAAAGAATAACATAAGGAAAGACAGAAAGAGAAAGTGATAGAAGGAAGAAACAAAGAATAACATAAGGAAAGACAGAAAGAGAAAGTGATAGAAGGACGAAATAAAGAATAACATAAGGAAAGACAGAAAGAGAAAGTGATAGAAGGAAGAAATAAAGAATAACATAAGGAAAGTGACAAAAGGAAGAAATAAAGAATAACATAAGGAAAGACAAAAAGAGAAAGTGATATAAGGAAGAAACAAAGAATAACATAAGACAAGGTGATAGAAGGAAGAAACGAAGAATAACATAAGGAAGGACAGAAAGCGAAGGTGATAGAATGATATAAAAAACAAAGAATAACATAAGAGAAGGTGATAGAAGGAAGAAACAAAGAATAACATAAGGAAACACAGAAAGAGAAAGTGATAGAATGATTAAAAAACAAAGAATAACATAAGAGAAGGTGATAAAAGGAAGAAATAAAGAATAACATAAGGAAGGACAGAAAGAGAAAGTGATAGAAGGAAGTGATAAAGAATAACATAAGAGAAGGTGATAGAAGGAAAAACAAAGAATA